CGAGTCTTTAGAGGTATGCCACTTTGGAATCGGCTTAAGTTTGGTAAAGTTATGGACTCCCGAAGGCCAATTTGGAGTTACTGTATTACAAGACATCGGAAAACTAGAAATAACTAACATGAAAATGGGTCAAAAATTTGATCAACGATAAATTGAAAATTTTGAATGCAGATTTTTAGAAAATCAAATCACGAGTCTTTAGAGGTATGCCACTTTGGAATCGGCTTAAGTTTGGTAAAGTTATGGACTCCCGAAGACTAATTTTGAGTCACTGTATTTCAAGACATCGGAAAACTAGTAAAAACTAACATGAAAATGGGTCAAAAATTTGATCAACGATAAATTAAAAATTTTGAATGTGGATTTTTAGAGAATCAAATCACGAGTCTTTAGAGGTATGCCACTTTGGAATCGGCTTAAGTTTGGTAAAGTTATGGACTCCCGAAGGCCAATTTGGAGTTACTGTATTTCAAGACTTCGGAAAACTAGAAATAACTAACATGAAAATGGGTCAAAAATTTTATCAACGATAAATTGAAAATTTTGAATGCAGATTTTTAGAGAATCAAATCACGAGTCTTTAGAGGTATGCCACTTTGGAATCGGCTTAATTTTGGTAAAGTTATGGACTCCCGAAGGCCAATTTTGAGTCACTGTATTTCCAGACATCGGAAAACTAGTAAAAACTAACATGAAAATGGGTCAAAAATTTGATCAACGATAAATTAAAAATTTTGAATGTAGATTTTTAGAGAATCAAATCACGAGTCTTTAGAGGTATGCCACTTTGGAATCGGCTTAAGTTTGGTAAAGTTATGGACTGCCGAAGACCAATTTTGAGTTACTGTATTACAAGACATCGGAAAACTAGAAATAACTAACATGAAAATGGGTCAAAAATTTGATCAACGATAAATTGAAAATTTTGAATGCAGATTTTTAGAGAATCAAATCACGAGTTTTTAGAGGTATGCCACTTTGGAATCGGCTTAAGTTTGGTAAAGTTATGGACTCCCGAAGGCCAATTTTGAGTCACTGTATTTCAAGACATCGGAAAACTAGTTAAAACTAACATGAAAATGGGACAAAAATTTGATCAACGATAAATTAAAAATTTTGAATGCAGATTTTTAGAAAATCAAATCACGAGTCTTTAGAGGTATGCCACTTTGGAATCGGCTTAAGTTTGGTAAAGTTATGGACTCCCGAAGACCAATTTTGAGTCACTGTATTTCAAGACATCGGAAAACTAGTAAAAACTAACATGAAAATGGGTCAAAAATTTGATCAACGATAAATTAAAAATTTTGAATGTGGATTTTTAGAGAATCAAATCACGAGTCTTTAGAGGTATGCCACTTTGGAATCGGCTTAAGTTTGGTAAAGTTATGGACTCCCGAAGGCCAATTTGGAGTTACTGTATTACAAGACATCGGAAAACTAGAAATAACTAACATGAAAATGGGTCAAAAATTTGATCAACGATAAATTAAAAATTTTGAATGCAGATTTTTAGAGAATCAAATCACGAGTCTTTAGAGGTATGCCACTTCGGAATCGGCTTAAGTTTGGTAAAGTTATGGACTCCCGAAGGCCAATTTGGAGTTACTGTATTACAAGACTTCGGAAAACTAGAAATAACTAACATGAAAATGGGTCAAAAATTTGATCAACGATAAATTGAAAATTTTGAATGCAGATTTTTAGAGAATCAAATAACGAGTCTTTAGAGGTATGCCACTTTGGAATCGGCTTAAGTTTGGTAAAGTTATGGACTGCCGAAGACCAATTTTGAGTTACTGTATTACAAGACATCGGAAAACTAGTAAAAACTAACATGAAAATGGGTCAAAAATTTGATCAACGATAAATTGAAAATTTTGAATGCAGATTTTTAGAGAATCAAATCACGAGTCTTTAGAGGTATGCCACTTTGGAATCGGCTTAAGTTTGGTAAAGTTATGGACTCCCGAAGGCCAATTTGGAGTTACTGTATTACAAGACATCGGAAAACTAGAAATAACTAACATGAAAATGGGTCAAAAATTTGATCAACGATAAATTGAAAATTTTGAATGCAGATTTTTAGAGAATCAAATCACGAGTCTTTAGAGGTATGCCACTTTGGAATCGGCTTAAGTTTGGTAAAGTTATGGACTCCCGAAGGCCAATTTTGAGTCACTGTATTTCAAGACATCGGAAAACTAGTAAAAACTAACATGAAAATGGGACAAAAATTTGATCAACGATAAATTAAAAATTTTGAATGCAGATTTTTAGAAAATCAAATCACGAGTCTTTAGAGGTATGCCACTTTGGAATCGGCTTAAGTTTGGTAAAGTTATGGACTCCCGAAGACCAATTTTGAGTCACTGTATTTCAAGACATCGGAAAACTAGTAAAAACTAACATGAAAATGGGTCAAAAATTTGATCAACGATAAATTAAAAATTTTGAATGTGGATTTTTAGAGAATCAAATCACGAGTCTTTAGAGGTATGCCACTTTGGAATCGGCTTAAGTTTGGTAAAGTTATGGACTCCCGAAGGCCAATTTGGAGTTACTGTATTTCAAGACTTCGGAAAACTAGTAAAAACTAACATGAAAATCGGTCAAAAATTTGATCAACGATAAATTGAAAATTTTGAATGCAGATTTTTAGAGAATCAAATCACGAGTCTTTAGAGGTATGCCACTTTGGAATCGGCTTAAGTTTGGTAAAGTTATGGACTCCCGAAGGCCAATTTGGAGTTACTGTATTACAAGACATCGGAAAACTAGAAATAACTAACATGAAAATGGGTCAAAAATTTGATCAACGATAAATTGAAAATTTTGAATGCAGATTTTTAGAAAATCAAATCACGAGTCTTTAGAGGTATGCCACTTTGGAATCGGCTTAAGTTTGGTAAAGTTATGGACTCCCGAAGACCAATTTTGAGTCACTGTATTTCAAGACATCGGAAAACTAGTAAAAACTAACATGAAAATGGGTCAAAAATTTGATCAACGATAAATTAAAAATTTTGAATGTGGATTTTTAGAGAATCAAATCACGAGTCTTTAGAGGTATGCCACTTTGGAATCGGCTTAAGTTTGGTAAAGTTATGGACTCCCGAAGGCCAATTTGGAGTTACTGTATTTCAAGACTTCGGAAAACTAGAAATAACTAACATGAAAATGGGTCAAAAATTTTATCAACGATAAATTGAAAATTTTGAATGCAGATTTTTAGAGAATCAAATCACGAGTCTTTAGAGGTATGCCACTTTGGAATCGGCTTAATTTTGGTAAAGTTATGGACTCCCGAAGGCCAATTTTGAGTCACTGTATTTCCAGACATCGGAAAACTAGTAAAAACTAACATGAAAATGGGTCAAAAATTTGATCAACGATAAATTAAAAATTTTGAATGTAGATTTTTAGAGAATCAAATCACGAGTCTTTAGAGGTATGCCACTTTGGAATCGGCTTAAGTTTGGTAAAGTTATGGACTGCCGAAGACCAATTTTGAGTTACTGTATTACAAGACATCGGAAAACTAGAAATAACTAACATGAAAATGGGTCAAAAATTTGATCAACGATAAATTGAAAATTTTGAATGCAGATTTTTAGAGAATCAAATCACGAGTCTTTAGAGGTATGGCACTTTGGAATCGGCTTAAGTTTGGTAAAGTTATGGACTGCCGAAGGCCAATTTTGAGTCACTATATTATAAGACATCGGAAAACTAGTAAAAACTAACATGAAAATGGGTCAAAAATTTGATCAACGATAAATTGAAAATTTTGAATGCAGATTTTTAGAGAATCAAATCACGAGTCTTTAGAGGTATGCCACTTTGGAATCGGCTTAAGTTTGGTAAAGTTATGGACTCCCGAAGGCCAATTTGGAGTTACTGTATTTCAAGACTTCGGAAAACTAGAAATAACTAACATGAAAATGGGTCAAAAATTTGATCAACGATAAATTGAAAATTTTGAATGCAGATTTTTAGAGAATCAAATCACGAGTCTTTAGAGGTATGCCACTTTGGAATCGGCTTAATTTTGGTAAAGTTATGGACTCCCGAAGGCCAATTTTGAGTCACTGTATTTCAAGACATCGGAAAACTAGTAAAAACTAACATGAAAATGGGTCAAAAATTTGATCAACGATAAATTGAAAATTTTGAATGCAGATTTTTAGAGAATCAAATCACGAGTCTTTAGAGGTATGCCACTTTGGAATCGGCTTAAGTTTGGTAAAGTTATGGACTCCCGAAGGCCAATTTGGAGTTACTGTATTACAAGACTTCGGAAAACTAGAAATAACTAACATGAAAATGGGTCAAAAATTTGATCAACGATAAATTGAAAATTTTGAATGCAGATTTTTAGAGAATCAAATCACGAGTCTTTAGAGGTATGCCACTTTGGAATCGGCTTAAGTTTGGTAAAGTTATGGACTCCCGAAGGCCAATTTTGAGTCACTGTATTTCAAGACATCGGAAAACTAGTAAAAACTAACATGAAAATGGGTCAAAAATTTGATCAACGATAAATTAAAAATTTTGAATGCAGATTTTTAGAGAATCAAATAACGAGTCTTTAGAGGTATTCCACTTTGGAATCGGCTTAAGTTTGGTAAAGTTATGGACTCCCGAAGACCAATTTTAAGTCACTGCTTTTTAAGACATCGGAAAACTAGAAATAACTAACATGAAAATGGGTCAAAAATTTGATCAACGATAAATTGAAAATTTTGAATGCAGATTTTTAGAGAATCAAATCACGAGTCTTTAGAGGTATGCCACTTTGGAATCGGCTTAAGTTTGGTAAAGTTATGGACTCCCGAAGGCCAATTTTGAGTCACTGTATTTCAAGACATCGGAAAACTAGTAAAAACTAACATGAAAATGGGTCAAAAATTTGATCAACGATAAATTGAAAAATATATTATTATATTATATACAGTTTTTTAGAGGATCGAAGGGTATAAAAACATTTTTTTTTGTCGTTTTATTAAATAGTTCGTAGTAATGACTTAACTATTCAATTAATTATAAAAAACTACCAATTTTTAAAGAGCAAGTCTTTTTTCGAGTTTGTTCCTAATGTTTATATGGTTATTTTACAAGACATCAGGCGACCAACCAGATGATTGACCTGGTGCCAGTAATTTAGATCTCATGCGTTCCATGCTAGTGCCTTCCAAACGGACATCCATTGAGATTGACATATCCTCAACCTCTGCTCTCTTTTCCGGTTTCGATGGAGCTTTGAACTTCATCTCGATGGTTTCGCCACTTAATGGATCATCGGTGGCCTTGGCAATGGAGCGCAGTACCCCACTAACATTGCGTATACGAGGGGATGGTTTATCCGCTGGGGGATCTGGATCAGGAAGTGGTGGCTCCTCTGCGATCTGACCAGACATCTTTGAGAACCTGGCGTAAATCTTGTATTGATTGAAGTCGAAGATCTTGCCTTGGCTGTTGTACTGCTTCATGGTCTTCCTTCGTAGCTTTTTGCGTTCGGCAAACTCGCGGGTAGTGGCGCCCACGGCCACCAGGGCGACGTGGCTCTGGCTGTGCTCCAAGTGGAAGCCATCGCTCTGGCAGCTACTGATCACAGCCCGCACCACCTCGGAACAATCTATTCTGCTCTGACGTAGAGTAGTCAGCGCAGAGGCAATCTTCTGAATATTCGGAGCATCGAACACGGCTCTGGCGAGCGGAGTCAGCAGAATCTTGTGGCGCGGATCATGGTAAACTGGCAACAGGGCACAAATCTTGCTCACTGCCAGCAAACCCGCCTGCTTCAGAGTCAAATACAACTTTCCCCCACCAAGTCGAGGCTGTCCGCTGATCGGTTTTTGGAAAGTATACGTATAGATATAGACACTTCCACCGCCGTTGAAGACCAGACGCCACATCTGATCCCTGCCGCTCTGCTTCAGCTCCCGCATCTTGGGACCCAGCTCGAATAACACCCGGTTGGCAAAGTCGAGGCTCTCCATCTCATCCGATCCCGGGCCACCTCGAAAGTCGGGGCAAATCTCGTTAAAGGTCTCGCATAGTAAATTAAAATTAAATGCATTTGCACTTCCTCGGGATCCGCTGGCCATGATTATCTAAATAAATAGAATCTACTTTATATTTATTGTATACAGAAAATGTAAGGGCAGAAGTCTGGCAGATATGCTTTCACAGATAAAATATTTCATAGCATGTGTGTATTAATTTATAAATTAAAAAATTAAGTATTGATTGTTCATCAAAGATTATAAATTATATTGTTTCAATGCAAAATAAATAATTTGGCAGATCGGCCACAAATCACAGAGATAACATAAAATAACAATTTTCAAACATATTGCTCTGCGAATAAATTATCTTACCGAAATAGTCTCTACATATAAATGTAATTTAAAATGAAGAATATCGAATTTTCTAAGAAATAGATTTCTCGCTGTGTACTGCTGATCTCGCACAAATCCTTAATTGTAAATATGAGCCTACACACAGACGCACATATATTAAAACTCTGTTTATAAAGAGACCCGGTTTCCGATTTCAGTAAACACTTCTGGAACCGTACATTAAACAAGCAAGCAAAGAAATACTGCGCAGCTCCAAGTTTTTATTAGCTCCTCCAAAACGTTTTGCTCTCGGGGAAAAACTGATTGCAACTGTTCGGTTGTACTCGACGGAACTTTAAATTTGGGTGGAAACTAATTGCGAACACTATCGGAAAGTATTTTTATTAATCGATAAATCCTTATGAAAAAAGAAAAGTTGAAGAACTTGTGTTTTAAAATTAATTATTTTTTTTAATTGGGGGTGACACAGAAACCTTTTCGAATAAAAATTGGTTGAAATTTACATATGTATATATGTACATAATAATTTCATTTCATAATGTATTTACATTTACTTTTCTTAATTTTTATACCCTTGCAGAGGATATTATAATTTTGGTCAAAAGTGCGCAACGCAGTGAAGGAGACATCTCCGACCATATAAAGTATATATATTCTTGATCAGGATCACCTCCTGAGTTGATATAGCCATGTCCGTCTGTCCGTCTGTCCGTCTGTCTGTCCGTCTGTCCGTCTGTCTGTTTCTACGCAAACTAGTCTCTCAGTTTTAAAGCTATCGAATTGAAACTTTGCACACACCCTTCTTTCCTTTGCACGCAGTATATAAGTCGGAACGGCCGGGATCGGCCGACTATATCCTATAGCTGCCATATAACTGATTAATCGGAAATGCCATTACTTTGGTGTTTGTAAAGTTAGGAAGCTGGGATTTACTATGGGTCTTATATTTGGCCAATCAATCCGACCTTCCAAATTTCATAAGGATCGGCCGACTATATCCTATAGCTGCCATATAACTGATTGATCGGAAATGCCATAACTTTTGTGTTTGTAAAGTTAGGAAGCTGGGATTTCCTATGGGTTTTATATTTGGCCAATCAATCCGACCTACCAAATTTCATAAGGATCGGCCGACTATATTCTATAGCTGCCATATAACTGATTGATCGGAAATGCCATAACTTTGGTGTTTGTAAAGTTAGGAAGCTGGGATTTCCTAAGGGTTTTATATTTGGCCAATCAATCCGACCTACCAAATTTCATAAGGATCGGCCGACTATATTCTATAGCTGCCATATAACTGATTGATCGGAAATGCCATAACTTTTGTGTTTTTAAAGTTAGAAAGTTGGGATTTTTTATGAGTATTAAGAATGCATCATATGAATAATTTTGGAGAATATAATTTACAGAGTATTCTGCAAGGGTATATCAACTTCGGCTCCGCCCGAAGCTAGCTTTCCTTTCTTGTTTTATTTTTCTTTGTATATAATTTATTCTTAACCAGCACCAACAGGAGAGTTTCTCAAGCTATGTATGTCTGTCCGTTTCTATGAAGACTCTCAGTATTTACTGTATCTTCTTTCATTTGCTGATAATTTAGAAGTTGAAACGGGCGGACTCTATCATATAAGTCCCATTGGAGCAACAGAAAAAAAATGAAAAAATGATCCCCTGTTGTTTTTATTCATATATCTCTACTCCGAGATTAAATGGTTTTTTACAATTGCAGAATTACAGTCTTAATTTTATTGAAGAAACAATCCGAAATTTTATCATTCTTAAACACAAATGTAAAAATTAAAATAATAATATTTATAGAATATTCATAATCATAAATCATTTTTGTAATAGTTGCAAGGGTATTTAAATTTCGGCTTTCCAAAATTTTCTTTGAGTTCGATAAACCACAGTGTAGTACAAAAACGTAAAATACAAGTAATAAAGTTGAATCCTGAAGATTTCGTATTCGTGGCCAAAATGTGTGTTAAGAAAAGTAACAATGTAATCGAGCGTCGCAGCTTTTACTTACCTGCCTGGCGATATATTTATGTGGCCATGTGTGCAATAACTTGGCGACAGACAGGACGAGACTGCTTTTCACCTTCGAATTTAATGAGCTTCCACGGCACGTGATTATTAGGCGAACGGGCGTACGTGTAGGATTCTTTACCGAAAGTTCCCATCCCGGCTGGTTACAGGTGCTGACAATTCCCCAAACCCACACCAGGAAAAGGGCCTTCCTCTTCTTAGCCGACTCAACCGAACCGCATCCGCACCCACATTGGCGCACCGAGATGGCCACATGGGTGCGATTCCGTAGTTTGCCAGCCATCTACCGCCATCTTCACATATTCAAATTTTTACTCCTGCTCCTTTTACGGCGAAACATAAACAATTTTTCGCGACGCTGAAAAACTTTCAACTCGCTCAGGCCTTACATTTTCCACACGTGTTTCTGCTTCGTTTACCTCCTCCAAAAATATAAACCGCACCTCCTTCTAAGCTTCAAACATAGACTTTGCTTTAAGAAGTAACATGAGAAGCTTTAAAGTAAAAACAAATTAGGAGAAAAAGATTTGAAGTTGAAATATGAGGTTGGATGTAAAGAATAAAATATTTAGGTAATTAACTAATTCAATTCCTCGATTATAATTTGAATATAACATAAATAAGATTTGCTTAAAAAAGTTAAATTAAAATAGGGAAAATTTGTTATTTAAAATATTAATATGAAATTAATTTATAAGTTTTATTGAAATGCATTGTTTTGATTTTTTAGTTACGTGCCCTTACATTTAATTAAGCTAATAGTCCATATAAAATATTGCTATAAACAGTTTGCTATTTTCAAAGAACTATAGGCCAAGAACCAAATTAATATCATGTCCAATTATAGCGAATTGTTAACCTTAGTCAAGCAATAATAAAAGTATTATAAAAAAAAATTATACCGAAAAAAATAAAACAAAATAAACATTATAAATCTGACGGAAATCCGTAACATATATACCTTTGATTTTAAATGTGAAGTTTATTTCGATTAAATTGCTCTACGAATTTAGTCAATAACGCAGATGGTGAGTTCTGCTTAACATTTCCTTCTAGGACTCAACATCTTGCGGCCATGCTTTACGTCGCCAATATTTTCCGAAACATTGGCCAGCTCAGTTTGAGAGTTGATCACCTCCGTCACACCGTCGACGATCTCGTCCAGGGTGAGCGGATGTCCATTGGCCACCATGACGGCCAGGATGAGGGGGGCTAAGATGTCGTTGTGGCACCCGTCCATTTTACTTCCTCTGCCACAGCTGGGTATTGGAAATTTTAAAAAATAAAACACGAGTGCTCAATTTGGAATGCTCGATCTCTGTAGTACTCTTGTGAATTTATGACATCTCGACTGACAAGCCCTGCAGGAGCTGCTTCTCTGTACCTTCTCGGGTTTCCCCTTCACCGGAGTTTGGTTGGGGGAAATTCAATTTGAAAAAGTGTCACTTGTCAGTTGGTCACAGTCCATTGTGCCATACCCTTTGTTGCTCTTCCTGTTTTCCACCCATGCTGTGCACTTTTGGTTGCGATATATCAATACCACGGAATAGGAAAGGCGATGCGGGGATGTGCAGATACATTTCGTATGCAAATTACTCGCAAGTCTGAGACTGGCAAGTCAATAATAAAAAAAAAGACGACCACCCGCCGCAATCCAGATATACATATGCAAATACCGCCACGCCCTTACCGCCCACATCCATACACCAGTGGCAAAATCCTCAGCTTATTTCATATCCGTGAACGGTCGTTGAACAACTAAATGCTATGGTCACAATTTCAAATTAAATTAGTTTAAGTCTGATCTATCCATAAAGTAACCAAATTATCTATTGACATAATTTTTTAATTTTTATATCTTACCTTTAATTTATATTTTTTTTTGGGTTTATCGATTTTACAAACAAATGTAATACTATAAATATAAATTGAATTCCTTTCTTTTTTTAGTTTACATACAGGGTATTGGTATGGATATATATTCATGTTTTGTTGAAAGACTGTAAGTTTTTTAAAACTAATTTGTTTCCTCATATATACTAATTTATATTTCGTATACTCCTTTACACATATATATTGATGCCAGTTTTGGGAATATTGACCATAATGATATACATAATGATATACTATTAATTCCTTCGCATTATAGGAACGGGTTGGGCATATGAGAATAAATCTCAAAATGAAACTGTTAGGGTGGATGAAATTTCGGTGTGCCCTAAACTATAAATAATTTTTTTGTAGCCTTTATTATTCATAATTTTTTTTTTGTTAAAGTTTTTTAGTTTTCTTCCTCCATCCATACTGTCAAAAACCGGTTTTCTTTTAATGAAAAGTTGGCATCACTGCAACTTCAGCTGATAATAATAATTATCGGTGATTCCCCTTATTTAGCGATGGCAGTTTATTTTTCTTTGTTTAAAAATCTTTATGCCATTTGCTTCGTTCAAATTTTATTTATTTATTTTATTTGTCCAGCCCTGCTTGAAGCACCAGTGCAAAAATGTGTGTGCCTGTAAAGTATCGGATACATCCAAGTGCAATCGTATTCGGATGTGGATGTGGATGTGCCCCCACTGGGGCTGTGAGATTGTATACGGCTTTGTTCGACGCTCGATCAGTCTATGACACATCAGCGGATCGCGAACATTGTAACAGCGCTAAGTTGCGGTTTTTGTTATTCTATAATATATCTGTAAGGTAATAAGATAAACTAATAAATGCATTCAGTTGCGTCCACAGAAGGATTTGTTGTAAATGTTGTAAATGTTCGAAGAAATCATGTGCGCCTCTTTATAATTCTTTAATGAATTTCTGTAAATGGAGAGCTATGTACATATATGTAGGCAGAGTCTAAGTTGATAAGTCTCTCGCACGCAATACAAATTAAGTTTGATACGCCTGAAAGAGGAAACCGCAAGTAAACATTTATTATATGTGAGTGCCGACCGCTGATATATGTATATACTTACATATTTACTGATTTTTTGTGCATAAAATATATTTACCGATCAGTAAACGACTGTGGCTAACATAAAAAATATTGAATTAAAAATAACAAACTTTTCCTTAAAAGTTAAAGAATAATATATAATCAAAAACTCGCTACGGTTTATTCTACAAATATGTACATATGTGTTACTGTGCCTCTCGTGTTGTGTAAATATATAAATCCAGACAAAAAATGGTATATTCAGCAAAAAAGGGGATTTAATACGAAAAACTTGAAACTTGAATTATGTATCTGAACGTGTCTATGTTAATAAAATATCTGAACGTGCTGTAATAGAAAACAAAATTCAGAAATGAAAAAAAATATCTCGAGAGAGGATCAAATAAACTTTAATTTATAATACTTTCTAAATTGATCAACAATTTTATGCATTATGAGGGCTGCATAGATAAATCTCGTTTAAATTCTTCAAAAATACAGTCAATACATATCTAAACTTCCCTATCCAATATCGAACCAAATCTACAAGTTGAAGTCCAGTTATAACATTTTGTGGATTAAGAAAATTCGACTTAGTTTAAGAACATGTACCCCTTAACAGTACTGACTTTCTTGCAGAAATATGTCTGAGCCCCGGCTAAAATTCGTATTCGACTTCAAGAAGTTGAAGCAGACGTTCGTCGAGCTCTGTCCAGATTTCAAGGAGGAGCCCGATTATGAGAAGGCCACTGTTAGTCGTCGCTTCGCCCAGGAGGTGATCTTCACCTACAGCAAGGAGGCCGCTGCAGCCAAATCCCAGAAGAAGGACGTGTCCTGGACGTTGCGGTTGGATGTGGAAAATGAAAACGGAGCTACCATCCGTAGCGAGGTTAAGATCCAGACGCACTGGGTCCGCGACCCGCCGCAAAACCAGCCGTTCGTGATGCGGGGTCTCCTGCTGTTGTCCTTCAAGCAGGCCAGTCTGCTTGCGGTGGAGAAGTATTGCCAATTGGTTCCCCATCAGGTGGAGCGCGGCGAGGTGGTGCTCACTCCTCTGGCTGGAGCCGTGTTCTCCAAGTTTGAGATGACCAAGCTGGCCGAGGCTGTTGGCGAACCACTTGACAAAGTCATAGTGGCCGTCATCAGCAGCTGCCAAACGGATGGATACTATCTGGAGCACAGTCGCTGCCACATCGCTTTGGTTGCCCTTATCAAGACTGTTTCGGATTTCAAGATGCGGTCCTCCATCGTCAAGAAGACCATCAAAATGTACAAGTTGCACGGCAAGGAATTTGACATGGACAAGTTTAAGGTTTGGAGCACTTTCCTAAGGAAATCGGCTCCTGCAAAGCGCCAGGATGACAGCGATGGTGATGACTACGACAAGCTGGCCGAGCAGGTTCTGGCCTTTAACCTTAACAGCAAGGAGGAGAATCGCAAACCAAAAATGCCGATGAAGTGTGCAGCTAATTTTCCGGTTCCGAAATCAGGAACCGAAAAGGTTTGAAATATCCCAAGAAATTCTATTTAGAATGAAAACGGACTTAAAACGCCTGAGAATGGCCGTGCCATTCTTCATTACATTGAACGAACCAACTGTAGAAATTCCAAATTGGAATACTTTGTATGATGTATTAGAATATTCAATAGATGTTATCTGTCTTTTGTATAAACATTTTAAAACTATCTCAATAAAATGCAGTTCTTTTCGTTTCAATGTAAGTCTAGTTTTTTATATTCTAGAATATACATAGTATTTACTTAAATTTTTAGCAGGCGATGAAACTTAAAAAAACAAAGATTACTGTTAAACACATAACAAAATGAAAAATGTAAATATGTTACGCCTCGTAAGGTACTTATTCAAAAATTTCTGATTCGAAAGCACTTTATTATCTGAACATATCTGGTTATTGCTTCATTTTAAAACTTTAATGGTCAAACTAAATGACTCCACTCTTTTTTTAGCACTAGAATATTATTAAGGACAATCCTAAACATATTATTCCCTTTGAGGTTGTGAGATGGCATATGAGTTAGTCTAATTGTTCTACAGGTTTATTCACGTTACTCTGTGCTTACGTCCTTTAAGCCTATTTAAACATAAACATTCTTATAAACACCTCTTGGAAACAAACAAAAACATATGTTTCCATGTTGAGAATTGACGGAAATTATTTGGTTTTCTTAGTTGGTTTAGGCTTACGCTTCTGGAGCAAAACCCTGGACAACTTAAGTTTTTTATGCTCTGCATGCGTGCAAAGACCCACGGATTGCATAAAGAAATCCTTTGTGAGTTTAGGATGGTCATCTTCCTGGTTATTCTCTGCGGGCTTGGGATTGCAACGAGCTCGTTTAAGAGCAGCCTGCAGGTTGAGACGACTTTTCTTCACCTCCAGGTTGGCGTTTGAAAAGGGCGGTGGTTTCGGGGGTTCCACAATTGTCTGAACTTTTACGGCGGGTTCTACACCGTCTATTATAAAATACTTCATAAGCAACTCGCTTTCGGTGGGTCGCTCCAAAGCGAAATAAGGCTTGATAGAAAGTTCCGGGGCAATTATGAGCGGCACAATTGCTTGACTTACAATTTCCGTCACCACTAGTTCGTTTGGCTTAAGGTCCTGCTCAGTAAAAGCCAAGCAAAAACGATCTATGTCGTCCTGGAGACGAAGCACCAAGTAGTTACATTCTGCATTTAATTCGTACAAGATCTCCTCTAGTTCGCTTATGTAGTTGTTCTTGATCACCGGATCCTGTAAGATGGGTAATAAATTAGTAAATATTTGTAGTAATATCAAACAAGAAACTTATTCTATAATCTTAATTTTAAATGTATGGTCAACAATACATTTCAAAGGATTACAATTAATTACTTACTGCATCCGCCTGTTGCCCGAAAACCCCAACGATTGTCTGCAAGAACCAAACATAATTATTTCAAAATATCTTTTGATGGTTATATATATCCACATACCTGATGGATCGCCAAATGTGTTTTCATGGCCCGTTGGCAGTATGCAATATCGTTGACCAATTGCTTGGGAAGTTTGTAGAATTTTCGCAAATAATGTTCAAAGAATCTATGCACATGCAAATCCTTGCTTGGTTTGGAACCGGCTTTGCGCATTTTTACCAGAAAGTCTTTGATGATCTCATAGCGCTCCTTAGGCGTGAAATCGTTGAAATTAATGGCCTCCATCACATGGGTATAATATATTTTGCGTTTTAATATTATTTGTTTGTTTTGATGCTAGAAATTGCGGCTTATTTATAATTGAGTGACCAGAGTATTTAAAGTTGGTAAAATGACAGTTCTTAAAAAATATGTAGAGGCAATACTGTGATTTCGATATACACTTATCGATCGTTAGTCCTACTTATTTATCGAATTTAAATTAATGTCTGGAATATTTTTTTGCTTAATGCAATACAACATATTGAAGATAACAATGTTTAATTTATTCTTCACATGTAAGTTTTGTTTGCATTTCAATTAAACCTATTACCAGCAATTGCTTTTTAATATTAATTAAACATAACACCCACCTAATATCTACCAAGATTACTTAATAGTTTCTCGTATTTAGCGCATCGAACCAACATGTGCAACCTCTGATGACCGGTAATTAATGGGAAACCCCAATTTACGACCCGAGCAGGCACAGCTGTCAACTCAGGCTCAGTGCTATGTTTTGGCAGTAAATATGATTGATAGTATTCGGCTGTGGCTGAGCTCTGTTTACCCATGTGCGTAAATAAATTAATTACTATTTAATTATTCACTTATTGATCATTCACAAACGTGCCAAATTTATGCGTAACTGCGTACATTTCAATTAAGCATTGCAGAAAATAACTATAGAAGACGGAAATTATCGAGTGATTTAAAATTAATCCTCTTTGATTTTCAGTTGTGTGGAAAAATTAAAATATGGATATTGATTTCGCTTTAAGTGCACATACATTTTAAGCAACAATATATGTAATTATGTGGACAAAGTTGGTCCTCTCTTCTCAGAGATCTGCTCTGCACAGCTTTTGAGGCTCCTCAACTGCCAACTCTTGTTTTCCTCCTGTTTTGCAATATCCTCCGGCAACTTTAAAGCTCTTTGGCCCGGCAAGAAAACTTTTGACCGCAAAAGGGTCTGCCGAAGGAGCCCCATAATCCTCAAAAGGCTTTGGCATTGCCAAAGCAACCAGAATACGCAACAAATCTTGGAAAGCAATGGGTAAAGGGCAAAACAGATGCAGCTAAAATCTCATCATAAGCTCTGCCTTGGCCAAATCTCAAGTTGGCTTTCAGCACAGGGATATTTTAAAGATATTCCTTTGCGTTTCCTGGAGTTGGTTTTAGTTCAAATGGGTATTTCATTTGGGCTTGTTTCAAGGAAAACTTAGATATAGTCAAATATGCAATCGGGTGGGAATATTTTTATTATTAAACTTACATAAAAATTAAAAAGTAATAAAAATCGAAATAAAATTAATACAGAAATTCGGGATCAACCCGTGGTTTTTTGTTTGCTTCTTATATATTTGTATAAATTAAAAAAAGTTCACATTTTAATTAAATCGTTTTAAAATAACGGTAACTATTTTATTTTTATTTTAAATATTTTTTCTCTATTCACAAAGTCGTAATCTGTTTAGCATTGTTGTTAAATATGATCAAATTAATTTATATAACTTTTGGAACATTACATTTCATTGAGTAATACAATATGTAGGCTTTTCCTTTTTAAATAATTGTGTTCTTTTCTTTGTACTTTCCCTCTAAATTAATTATTTCAATGGCTTTTTGTCCACTTCAAGGGTCGTCTTAAATATCGCAAAGCTAATAATAAAAGTCGCGAACGAAGCACTCCACGTACTTCAGTTGTAATGGGAGTCTATATAACTGATGTCTCCTGGATGCCGGGCAATATTCATCTTGCGACTTCAAAGGATGGGCGTGGCAACAATAGATGGGCCAGGACAGAACAATAGTCGTTGTTGTCCTGGCGATGCGATGGTTAAGGAGGCACTTTTTGAGGCGCAAAAAAAGGACGAACAAAAAAGGGACAATGGCAGCACCTAATGGTCCGTTGTGGTGTCGGTGGTGTTGGAGGTTTTCGGCCCTGGTGGCTTGGTGGTGTACTGGGCTGGTGTTGCCGGTGGTTCCGGCCGGAACAGTTGCACGCGGAGCCACCGACAGTGGCCCTCATTTATCATTTACACACCAACGCACGGGAAAACAGTCCGAACATGGCCAAATGATGGGTTGTTGGCTGGGCTGGATGGGAGTGGATGGGATTGGGATTCTATTGCAGAGCCCCCCGGTGGAAATTCCATTAACGCTTTATGTCGGCGCATGCGGCACATCGGCCCCGTCATTTGCATTGATTAAATCACTTTGCGGTCGGTTCGGCAAATGGTTTAAAAATCCCCACCAACTTTCCGCTCAATTGTTGCTCGCCCCTCCATTTTTATGCACTTCGCTGGCGTCCTTCTCTTTTGGGTCGCTTACAAATTGCCTTTGTTTTTCATTCGACTTTATTCCCCAGAACTTCTATCCATTTTTGGTAGCACGTTGTGTAGTCATATACCAATATTTCCAATAAATTACACCAGCCCTCTTCTGATGGCTATGTGGATTTGGGTATGGGATGATTTTTCAGTTTTAAAGGGGGAAGGTGAAAATGTAATTGGCTCTCGAGGGAACGTGGCAAAATTGCAATGTTTGTTCCATCAATGTTGATTCTAATTTTCGCAAAGCATTACAATTTCTGTTCTAATATAGCATTTTCATATTTTTGGAGTGCAATTCATAAGGTATATTTTTTGTTTTTGAATCTGAGAGTTTCCAGACAAAATAACGAATTTTATTCGAACGAAAGAAACTTATGCATATGTTCGGCATATTCGTAGAATACCCGGATTAATGTGAATTCAGTTCAGGTGCATCGTAGAATGGACACCAACTGTCGAAATTGAATATTGCCCCACAAACTCACCGTCTCTTTTTGGGGGTGTATAAACATTCTCTCCATTTCAACGCTGTCTGCAACAGGCTTTCAAACAATAACAAAACTGTACGGAAACGCGTTGAAAAAGTTTAAAACAAAAACAAAAAATGGGGGTTGGTTTTATAACACAATTTCCACAAAGGTGTGTGTGTGCAGGCCACCGTTAAAAGCGAAAGAAAAAAATTCGAAAGTGCCTATGGCGCAGCGCATGCAAAAAAGAAAATATTTACTTAGCCAAAGGAGTGGGAAAATATCTAGAAACAAGATAATATTAAAGGACATTTAAAAGTAATTGCATTGCTGAGTGGCAGAATAATTAATTGCTCAAGGTAATTCTTGAAATTAACGGCCGATAACTCATAGCAGATATCAGTGACAGGTAATGACAGTCGACGGGGTGGCAACGCCTCGCCATTATCAAACAGCTGTTTGTCGGTTTTTTTTTGCAATTGCACGTAACTTCAAAACATTACAAATTCCTGAGAAATGATAATCCTGAATAGATGTACGCCTATAAGACAAATTTTGAGAACCTGTCATCGCCAGGGTAAGTAGAAATATTACACACTTAAATTTCTATTAAAAAGAATTCGTTTCATAAATTAACGACTTTAGCGGTTGAAAACAGCAGCAATAAGGCAAATTTAACCGCATATTTGGGAAAATGGCCCGAAAAAGAACAGCAGGAATTTCGACAGCACATGCGCATCATCACAGATTTCATCAGTGAATCGGAGGAACAGCAGCTTCACGAGGAAATCGAACCCTATATAAGTCGCCTGCGCTACGAATTCGATCACTGGGACGATGTGGGTTGAGATCATATACGTATATAGTACCCAAGATAAGATTTACTAAATTACAGGCCATTCACGGATTTAGAGAGACAGAGCGGAAGAAGTGGTTCCCCAAAAATCGAGAAATTCTGGAGCGCGTGCGTCAAGTCGCCTTCGATGGTGCAATTATGCCCTACGTTCACATCCTGGATCTGGCACCTGAGGGCGTTATCAAGCCCCATGTTGATAGCACTCGAGTAGGTCCAATGTTTATAGGTTCTACAAATAAGAGCGAAATCGAGCAAGTAACTTAAGTGTTTAGTTTCGAAAAAAGTTTATTGTAGGTCAGTAATTGATTGATTTAAGAAAACAAAATTTTTTTTATACTTTTTTACTCACATAAGTTTTGGCTAATTTCTATTTAATACCGAGTTCAGTTTAATTTAGAAGCTAAATACTTAATATAAATGAGCATTACCCAACGCGATTAATTGCGCTACAGTTTTCTCAAAATTTTCTTACGTAAAAACCTTCTGGCAATTACAAACAATCCGTAAAAACCTTCTGGCCATTAAAAACCGCTGGGTGGTTTTTAATTGATGTGTTCGATAAAGACAAGGGGGCAAAGAAACAAAAGCGCAAATTAAGATCGTTAATTTATTTAAGTTATGTAAAAACATTTTTGGGGTTTGCTATTTATTAAACGTTTAGAAGATCTGGCATAGTTTGTTTAGGAAATAATGATGCCAAAGAACTATAAGGCTTTTTTTCATAGCATAACAAACATTTAAATAATATGTGTAACTAACTAATATTCAAAATAATCTTATCCCCTTATTAGTACTGTGGCACCACAATTTCCGGGATAAGCTTGTTAAGTGACAGTGTCATGCGGCTTGTGCGCACGGATGCCCAGCGTTACCAGCAGAAATCGTCGGGCACTGCAGCGGAACCGGATTCCAAGGGGTCAGAACCCGATGCAGCTTATCGCCATCAACCGGAGGCGACGCTGGAGAACAACTTCTACGCAGATCTCCTGCTGCCACGACGCTCCCTGTACATAATGAGCCACACGGCGCGCTACAATTTTACGCACGAGATCCTGGCCAAGGAGCAGTCCGAGTTTCAGGGCACACCGGTACCAAAGACACGTCGCATTTCCATCATTTGTCGCAATGACCCCTAAAAGCGTCTAATATTATTGTTTGCGAATGTACTTCGGTGCATCTAAAGTCTGAAGGTAAATCAACTTAGTACTTTTTCTTTGCCAAAATTCTAATTTATCCAAAAGTTTATTTATGTAGTATATAGTTCATATAATTTGGTGAAGGTACTTTTAAACAACGATAAATGAATCCAATGAATGTACAGATTTTTAGTTGCTATTAAACATTAAATTAAATTAATTACTTATTTATTTTTATTAAATATCTGACCAATTTTACTTAATTATTGTTCATTTGAGGCTGATATATAAAGTTTAAAGATTCTTTGCATTAAGATACATGAAGAACCATGTTGTTCAATAATCACCTCACTATTTTTGGTTCAAATATTTTACCTGTTTATATACCCTCTGCTTTAAATTACTTAAGTTTGAAGTAATGAAATATTCGTTAAAAAAAACACAAAATAAATATTTATAAATTTGCTTTAAAACTAAAATTTATTTTCAATTCCTACTTACATATAAGAAATGTAATGGTACTTATATTTGTTAATAAGCTCACAAAAGTCTCCTTAAAAAGTTGTAAAGTTTGGCAGTAATTGTTTTCTTGTTATTACAGACGAACAGGTAGTTTCCCCAAATCACGACAACAAGAATTTGATACTCCTTGAAGAGTTTTTACGTTGCATTTGTTTGCCAACTAGTTTGGTAGTTAAAGTTGCATCAAGCAGTTAAATGGGGTTTTATACAAACAGCGAAACTTTCCATTCGACTTACTGGGATTTTCCCGATACGAATTGAATACTAACCAAGGATTGAAAATGGGGCATAGAGAAGTGTATCTTTGATTAAAAGTTAAGAGCTTGAAATACAACAAATCAGCGTTAGTGGGATCCGTTTGCACACCACTTGACGCCTTTCAGCTCATTTGTTTGTTTATTAGAGGTCTTTTGCCTTGGCTTATTTGCGCAGGAGATTGAAGGCATCCCAGCAAATCCCTGCGCAAATATAATTCTGAGGGCGTTATTTTTAGCGCCCGATAACAAAATATGACGATTTGCAAATGATGTCATAAATTTACAAGGAACACGGCAGTTTGGTGGTATACGTTTACGCATTGTTTATGATAAATGCGGTTGACAAACGGAAATCATTCGGCCATAAAGCATCTTCGCAGTTTGGCGCGATTTTCTGTGGTTTTAAATTCTGAGGGGGAGTTATGTTGGCCCAAAGTGGGTGGCCCAAAAGCTCGCTGTTAGTTTCTCTTATGCTGTTAGAACGCCTTCCACACGGCTGTTATTAGGTTTAAGCCAACATGAGCATTACAAGACTGTTCAAATAGGACTCCAAACTACCAGTGTTTTTCCAAAAACATACCATAATTTGTGGTATTACTTTTAACTATTTTAACTTTTATTTTATTTGGTATGTATCATGAACATAAATAACGAGCTTAAAGCAAACTTCATGGTTTTTTTTTGACATTTCATTTTATGTTGTGTAAAAATAGCATTAAAAAAATAAAAGAAAAACAAAGCACGTATGCGCAATTTATTGAATTATTTAAAACTATGAGTATACATAGTTTTTTAACTTATATTTTCGTGAAATTTGGAACCATAAAATAAATAAAGAGCTCAAAACGGTTTGATGTTTACACTTTGTTAACAAATAGTAGATCAAAATAAAGGTATCAAAAAAGAACATTGCAATATATTTTCATAAAACGGCTTTCATGAAAACTACTTTACCAACAAATTAGTTAAACCTTTTCCAAGTTATTTTTACAAGTTTCTTTATAAAATCTGAAAGGGTCCAATTAATATGTAAATTCGACATTTACAACATTTCTTGCACTTAATAAATACACAATAAATAAAAGAACAATTAAATCAATTGAACATCGACTTCAATTAAAATGTTAAGCAAGGTAGCAGCATTAAATAAATAGTCGAAGACCCAGTAACAACACTATGTAACTCCTAAACCCACCTGCTCCTCGTTCAGGTGTTCAGTTCATCAACGGTTTAAGGACTTTTGAACAATGTTCAGGACTCAAGTGGAGAAATGGCTAAAAAGCAAAAGGACTGTTAAGGATAAGAAAATGGAAAAAGCAGGACTCGAGTGGCTCGAAATGAAAGCCAGATGAAGAAATACGGCTTCTGCAGGTGAGTCGATAAAAAAGCCATCAACATTTTGTTTTGCCCCAGAAACGGAATGGAACCGAGCTCAAATCTGCAGGACAGCAAGAGTAAAAGGGACTTCCTCCCGTTTTCGTCCTGGCCAACAACAAAGTGGCAACTCGAACTTTTGAACAAATTATCAACTGTATGCAACAGAAACATCACAAATAACAACAATAATCTCGGCGACAATTTCAAGAGGCAGCCCGCAAAAAAGGGCCAACAAAACCCTAAGCAACTTTTATTTGGAGCTTTATTTCGGTTATTGCTATTATTATTATTATTTGCCTGCCATCCACTCGTAACAATTTCACCCTTTCTGTGGCGGTCCCCGAAAAGTTGGGCAAAACTTTGGGTTTTTCATTTCGCTGAAACAGTTCTCGAACTCCACTCCGCAGGATTTTGACCCCTTGTGAAATTGGACTACCGGAAAATGAGTCCAAACAAGGAATAAATTGTATGTGCAGGAATTTAATTGCAATATACTAAATTCGCCTTCATTTTACAACGAAATATATATAAATTAACAATTAAATATTAATAATTTTAGACAGTACATTTTTTTTCAATTCTCCGAAATGTAAGTAAAACTTAATATGGTTGAGCTCTTTAAAGCTGAAACATACTTTTTTTACAAGATTATACTTAACTTTTTAAATTTTTAACAGAGTAAAATAATGATAAGGAACAGATTTAGGAACATATTGTATTATCTTTAAAATGTTATGCCTGTTAGCTTTAGCTAAATAATAAATTCCCAAATGCATAACTATTGCCTAAAGAGCTACAAAAATAGTGTCCTTACCATCACTACTTTAAAGGAACTATTTTTAGAGTGGGTCTTTCTAGCTTTGCTTGTGATAATCCCAGAGATTCGTGAAATTCAACCGCATTGCTTTAAGAAATTCGCAGCAGAACTTCAAAGGCGCGATGCCGGGAAAAGAGGAAAATGCGCTTCGGGCGGCGCTTTTGTCCTGTGTCGCCTGTCGAAGGACTCGAAGGGACACTCTCGCCCTCCGCGGACTTTTCGCTGCCAAATATTTTCTTTTGAGCAGCGCTGGGCAGGACAACTGATGCTCCTTGCCGTTGATCCGCTCTGCAAGTCCTTGGCAGCAGGGCCAAAAAAAATCCAATTAAATGAAGTCCTTTTTTGTTGTTCCATGCTCTTTTCCAGCGTTTTCTTTATGCTTTCACTGGCGGGGAAAGTGCATCAGCGATGGACAAGAAGCTTAATGCACAAATTCACACTCTGACAATTCCATAATCCACGGATTCAGTCAAGTACGTTGATAATGGAAATTAATACGCTAAGTAAATCACTTCACACCTGCAAAGCTGGCCACTAAATGTCATTGGCGGATTATCCTGTGAAAATCGGGATTAAAGAGGAGTATATATAAGTGCACTGGAGGAAATATAACTTATCCGGTTTCTTAAGTACTTCAGGACTTTATGTCACATTTTCAAGACTTTTTCACTGTTGACTTTTTCACTGTTGTTGTTGCTGAAATTAAAAATATTTTTTTAAATTAACAGATCTTTTTTATACAATCCGCAAAGTTGGGCATACAAATATTAACAAAAACAAGTTAAGTTTTATATTTATGATTTCACCATTTACAACTACTCGTAATCGAAATCAGTGTCCCGAATTTCCGGGATTTAATGTAATTACCGTCCATCAACTGTCGCTAATTTTGCAGAGATTTCTCTCAAATATGGTCCACTGCTTGGTGGGGCGTAGCAATAATTACCATTGACCGGGAAATAGATGATCGATTTTCGACCCCTCTCCCAGAATTCCGCATGCCGAAATTAATTGAGCATACATTTTTATTGCGCTTCGTCGGAGCTCCGTGAATTGTGAAAAATGTACGGCAACGGGAAAGGGAAAGGCCACCCCGAATGTCCTTGAGAAATGTTTAATAGACTTTTAAGTCATTTTTTGCTGCCCTGCAAGGCCCCATTCCTTGAAGGGCCCAGTCCGCTAACTGCTGTCACCTGCCGGCAATCACGGCCATTAATCACGATTATTTCGAACTGAAATCGACCAACGGCCCACAGCCTACTCGCAGTGTTCCCCCGGCTCGGCGCTATTACTCACATTAATAAGTAATTATTTTGACTTGCCTGGCACAGTTTCATCGCTTCGAATTGGACCTCGAGTGAGAGTGATGGGATTTGCGATGGTTGATGGCCACATTTTCACACCTCAACACGCACTGAGCACGGTTCAATGAGTCCAGGATATTAACATACCTGCAATTTTTACATCAAAAAAGAAAGCAAATCGAATAAACAAAAAGTTTTTTTATGATAATAATAGATTCAATTTTTAGAACAAATTTTAAAATATTAGAAACCAAAACCAATGCTAATACAAATTTGAAAGAATTTCTGGGCTTTTAACTCTTTGAACAGTTTCAAAAAATTAATCGGTGTTAGGATTTTCTTATGTATCAAATTATTTCGTTGAAATTTTATAAGTAGTCAAAGCAAAAATATTATATTTTGACTAATGTAAATAGCGTAATATAGTCATGTTATATAACAACAGTTACAAAAAACATTTCTATTATTATCCTAAAAATTAAAATAATAATAATTTGCTGCAATCTACAAAACTGTGTTTTAGAATGGGCTAATTTTTTCGGAAATTAAATTAACTTGATACAGTCAACCCACTTAGTTATTATAAGTTCATTTACATAAATTCTTAGTTCTAAATAGTAAATTTAAAATTTCTATAGCTCTATTTGCATTTTAAATCTTCCACAACTCCCTGAGTAAACGCATAGTGGCCGAATAGTTTGCCTGACAAACAGAAACACTTTAATCCCCATTAGATGGTCCCCCATTTGGAGTCTGGATAAAATCCCTGGAGGTCCTGGTCTGCCCGGCGATTAAAACTTTCTGCGGCCGCCCCTGTTTAAGTTTCATTTTCAGTTTCTGGCCCTGACTGCCCAATCCCACAAACAGTTGGCCGAGTCGAAAGTTTCTGCTCTGCGGTTAATTCGTTTTTATTTTCACTGGGTGCGATTGTTTAACCGAAAGCCTCAAAACCAACTGGCGCCAGTCTGTCCCTCCATCGACTTTCCCATCCTGGCCACAACAAGTGAGATGTCAATCAATAGTTCTTCAGCAAATGGAGCCGTCGGAACAAATGTGTCTCCCCCAAAAAAGGAAAGTCTGGTTGTCTGCTTTCCCACCTATTTATCTATATGTAAGTGACAAAAATTCTTTCTAGCCAGACAAAAAGAACTTAAACCGCTTATTTGGTAGTTGTTGCTGACCACCAAGTTGTCGCCTCGATTTTGGTGTATTTAATACATTTTAAATCACCTATTAAAGCCATCAAAAATAAACATTTTTTCTATAAGTAAACGATACATTTTTTATGATCGTTTTATTTTTTTTTCCATTAATTAATTTCATAGCTTAATTTTAAACCATTTCGTGATATATCCACTTATTCAAAAACTAATAAAGAATTAAACGTTTTTATGTAAAAGTAAATTTAGTATTAATTTCGTTTTCATTTTGTTCTCGCAGAATAAAGTACTCGGTCAGTTTACTATAATAAAAAATGTTCATGCATATTAATATGAGTATTTAAATTAAATCTCGCAGTTTTTTATATATATAATTTAAATTAATGAATGTGCGTGCTTTTTGTTTTTATATGGGTCATTTTGTTGATTTACAATTTGATGTCTATTCATTAAATCTCTTTAATCTAAAAACCTTCACACTTCTAAACGCTCATTATTACAATTAATCAATGTTGGTTATTCAAATTCCTCTTTTCTCTCTTTTTTTCAAAGGTCAATTAATTGTAATAATAATTAAATAATACAGGGCGAATAGAGCTATGAAAAATGTAACGAAAATAAGGAAACTTTTTCTCTGTGCGTTCATAATTTTTTCTATTTATCTACAGAAATTGTTTGTGGGGAGAAAAATCAATTTTCTGGAGCAGCTGAATCGCCTTAGGATAGTGAGTGAAAGGTGTATGAGATTTTGCATTGTCTTGCACAAGATATCTTGCAACTGCCGCCCCGGAAACTAACTTTCTTACATCAGAAAACTACAGAAATGTGTAAACAATGAGCGTTATGGACATTCATGTGTGAGTGAGGAAAAAAATCCCTTAAAATAATGGAAAACAGCTCACGTATCCGCACACTTGGCCAACATTCCTTGCGTTTTGCACAGCCATTTCTTGCAAGAAGAGTCAACGCAAATGCAAACCGACCTTTGGGGTCCTAGAGTCCCTGAGTCCAGGTAGAAGGACAATGGACTCGCAGTCGTACATACAAAATGCATTTTGAGCGCGAGTCCTTACCACATGCAACTGCAACTAGTGGAGGGAAAAATCGGGTACCTATATAGGCACATTGCGAATGTATTAAAGTACATCATACAGAGAAAATTGTGCAAAAAAGAGTAACAATATGATATATGGCTTTATAAAGCTATATACAAAATATGTAAGTTATCAATTTTTGATACTTTATTAACCCTGAAAACCCAAAATTATAAATAATTATAAACAGAAAGTCTTAAGATACTTCCAGGTTGGTATATACCATTAGCCCACCTATACATATATTTTAGGACATGTACATTTTCCTTCTTTTTTATCTAGGTACCAAAAATAGTTATTGCTTCCTCATCACTGATTGCAACTGGGTCAACGAACGGTGATGTCCATCAGCCACCCGCCGTTCTCATCTTAAGGCTACGGCCAAAGGAGCAGGACAATGCCAAAACCAGGAGTCCTGCGGCGGTTTGTCTTAAGGCATCTGCAGCGCCGGCATGCGAGTGTCCTTCCGAGCCGATTTCATCCAGAAAAGGCGCTTAAAGACCATAACCTTTGGAAAACTCGACTATTCAACCCAAGGACAAGCCGAAGATATCCCTAAATTGCTAAAATCACCACCACTATAACACTTTCTATAGGCATTAAGCATAAACGACTTAAAAGAAAGGCATAAAACTAGAATTTTGAATACCAATTTGGAAGTATAGTAATTAGTCGAAGGCCCCAGCAATTAGTACTTATTAAGCAAATGTTAAGTTTGGTATTATACATATATTAAATTAAATTTTGGTCAAAATTAGAAACAAAATTTTATTATTATGTCGACAATTTTCTTCCGAAATGAAAATTTAAGTTGTTCGCCTGTTTATTTATTATATTGAGTCCTGCTTAACCGACTTCAGTCATTGATGATTCTTCTTATTAGTAATTGAATATTTTTCATCTTTTTTAAAACGTTTAAGTGATAAAACACAAAAAGTTAAAACAGTTCAAGAGCCAATTCCACGTTAAAAATACACGAATAAAATCCGAAAAGGCTTTAATTGTTCCAGCTCAATGGAACTTTTAAATATGAGAGTATGACCTTGTAAAGATTTTTCTTAGAATAAAGGCTATAAAGGCTATAATTAACATCGGTCTAAATGTGTATCTTTTCAAGGTGCCTTTTATGCCCATTCTTGACTTATCCATCTTATTCAAAATGGCTCGGAATTGATCTTAGCAAACTAATTCTTAAAATTTATATAGGAATATGAACTTTCTGTTGCGAGTAAAATTAGTTTGATAACCGGATCACTACAACTGGAGATAAAAACCAGGAAACGCTCCAACTGATATATACTTTCTAAGATATACAATAAAAAGGCAAAAATTAAGTCATAAAAATTATTTTTTTAATAAGCAATAGTAACAAAAAATTATAAACCAAAATAAATTAAAGTAATAAAAAAAAGTTGCAGTTAAATTTTAAATTTCCCGCTCTATTGGAGTTACCAACACTGGCACGAGTGATAATATGCACTAGCGCCTGGCGCACGATCACACTTGCGTAATCATCGATAAGCATCAGGAACTATCGATAAGCAGGTATTGCCATCTCAGTCACCTACGACGTGTTGACCGGGAAAAAATCAAACGAAGCTAGCAATTGCTTTTCAACCGTGATCCACACAACAAGTACGGAGTTTCAAAATAGTGAATATTATATTAGCAGAATCCGTGTGAGCGTATACAAAACAAGGAAACAAATTCCAACGCTCCCGTGACACAAAATGCTATAGAAATTGAAAGTCAAATGAATTCTTTACAAACCTGTGTGTGTGCGTGTAATTTAAGCGTCAATTTTTTGATGATAAAATTTGCCTTCATTTATTCATGTGTGCGTCGTTGAGCATATGAGCCTGCGATAGTGTGTGTGTGTTGGTGTGAGCGTCGAGCATAAGAAAAAACAACAACAGCAACGCTTAGCGAAAAAGGGGAACAAAGAGAACAGCGAGACAAGACTCCATCTTAGCAGACGAAGAAAGGAACAAAAAGGAGGACACGATGGCCAGTTTCCAGATCCACCAGGACATTAGCAACAAGGAGAACCCGGGCATAAAAATTCCGGCCGGAGTGAAGAACTCTAAGCAACCGCTGGCCGTAATCGCTGGGAAATCAGAGAAAAATGCGCTTGCGCCACGGGCAAATTTCGCCGTGCTTAATGGCAACAACAATGTGCCGCGTCCTATCGGGAAAGTGGTAAGTACCGTTCCCGTTTCTATTAATTCCAATGCAGCTGCCGTTTATTTTTAATGGTGGTGGTGGGATCTTCAAATAGCCGCACTGGTGAGTGTGTGCGCTGAGAGGTGGTGGTTTTCTGTCCTTTTTCATGCTCTTTTCACTCTTTCTTTTTTATCAATCGCTCTTTTTAGTTAGCCTTTGCTAATTTGCGCGCCTAGCCTATAATCTAACCTAGAAAATAGCACAAAGCCTTGCAAATGCGCGCCTTTTTTAAAGTGCAACAACAAATCAGCGGAACAAAGAGTAAAGCAAGAGCAAATGCAATTACCCCCGCACTGTCACGCACACATCGCCGCTCCATGGGAAGCCAAGGAAAGGCGCGCAACCAAATAACAGGATCATACCAAATGGAATGGGGCAATTGTTAACCCTTATTTGTGCTGCAACATATCCTATCTAAATGCGCAGGTCAAAATAGTTAGTCAAAAATGCTTTCATCATCCAAATATTTGAATAATATTAAGTGAAGATAAATAAACTAAACTTATTCAGCTATGATGACTAAGAGCGTCGACAATATGCCTTCGTTGGCAAAAAGTTAAGGCTCAAATACCACCGTTGCTTAATAATTAGTAATAATTTTAGGGTAATAATAATAAAATTTAGAATTCTGGCATCTGTTTTCAAATAACCTTCGATTCGTCCATAATATGACATCATATTACGATCTGTTTATTAATCTTTCTTTTGCTCCTTTTAGCAAGTCTTTCGTGACGTAAGGAACCACGTTGTCGATGAAAATGTGGAGTATGCTGCCAAGAAATCGAATGTGGTGCCCGTGGTGGAGCAGTTTAAGACATTCTCCGTATACGAGGATAACTGCGACACCCAGGTGGCACCACCTGGCAAATCCTTGGCCTCCATGGCCTATAAAGAAAACCAATATGCCGTAAAGATGTAAGTTTTAATGGTATTGGTTTTTCCTACAAACTTGAATGTTTTCCAACTTCCTCCAGCGATGTTGTGCAAAAGGAGTTCGTCGACTGCGACTTGGATGGCACGCCCATGTCCGTCACGGATGTCTTGTCACCCATGTCGGTGGATCGCTCGATTCTTGGTTCCATCCAGTCAAACGACATCATCGAATCGGGAGCCACGCCAGGGGGACAAGTTAAGGAGTTGCCACCGCGCAACGATCGCCAGCGATTCTTCGAAGTGGTCCAGTACCAAATGGACATACTTCAAAATTTCCGGGAGAGCGAGGTAAGTCCCTAAAACTTGTGTTTTTACTTGTAAAAGTTTTAAAACTATCTTGGATATAAAATTAATACGATTCCTCTTTATATTTTAAAATTTGATCAAGATTAATTTGAGACATTTCCGATTTATTGTCATTTAAAAATATTATATTATATTATTATTCATTAATATTATTATCAGTTTACATAATAATTCCAATTTAATTTAACATTAAATAGGGCTTTTCGTGATTGTCAAGACGATGAAAACATAGATGGGGGTGTAAGAGATTATTAGAAACAGCTCCTACCAAAATTTATTGTTTAACTAAATCATTGTTATCGAGATATGTACTGGCATATTTGAATGTATATTTAGAATATTTAAATAACAAAAAGTTTTTATCGAAAAAAATAGACTCGAGCGAGATTTGAACCTACGCCGCTATACGATGTTACGTTTTTCTAATTAATTTTCCGATCTTTCCTAAGAGAGCTTTATGATAAAGTCGTCCGAAATAATAAAAACGTCTATATTTAGGAGTACAACAAAGTAACAATTTATAATCTAATTAATTTTTCGACGTTAGACTTAAAAAAAAAGTGATTAGGAAAGTTTGTTTACGTCGTCATAGTTTGGCCGATTTTTGATGTGCATTGTGCAATCTTATCGAGCAAGAATAATAATTACAAAATATCAGTCAAACGAAGTAAGCGTATTTATTCTTAAGAAATTTACTAAATAAGTTAAATTAATTTATAGAAAATGCTGTGTTTATTAAGTGAATTTAAGAAACATTTACTTGAGATATAAAGGTTTAAATAAAATGGTTTAGTTTCAATGTGTTTAGTTCTTCACATAATTATTTTAAAACATGTTGTAGACAAGTTTTTTTTGGTCAAGATAGGGAAAATCAAGATACCGCGATAAGAAAAAAATGCCGTCTGGTAGGGATTCTCCCCTTGAGTACCTTGGTTTTTCGTTGTTTTCTTTTTATTACTTACCCCCTGTCTATTCCTTGGCCATGTGCATTTCATGTTTGTGTACAGACGCAGGCAGACGTAATTTTTCTATTCATAAGGAGAGGGAGGGGGTAAGGGAACAGGAAGACGGACCCTGTCGCACCCTAATGTGGCATTCGCTTCACGCAACGATGCCTGTTTCTGGGTCCGTGGGTTCCCGTTCCCTCTTTTTCTCCGGACGCCGGCACATGTTTATCGGGCGGGAATCGCTCGCCTGCGTCTCATCCTTCGTCGGTATTATTGACTCTTCTTCGTTTTCTCGTTTCGACTCCGCGCATTGCTCACTATTCACTATTTCCCCGACAGACGCAGACAACTCGGAACTAATGGAATTTGACTTGCAGCTAATTGCTGCTGCTTTCTTGCGGCCAGGCTATGTTTTTCCTGTAGCGAAAAGCAAAAATAGTCATAATTATTGTTGACACGTTTTGCTCGGGTTCTTTTGTGCCGGAATTGGCCAAAGTTGAGAATAGTTTGTTTAAACATAATAATTACGATGTTTTTGCAATTTAGTATGCATAACCTGCATAACATCAGCGTACACCTGCATAACCCTCAAGCTCCAGTATATTAAGAATACAAAACGTATATTCTTATTTAAATTTAAGTAATTCCACTGAAACTAACAAAGCTCACATTTTTAATCCTTTTTTATATTTTGAAATCAGATCAACCTAAAATACCAATTTCTATAAGCATTTAATTTTAACATAAAACATTTCAGCATTACATGTTCAATTATAATGTAATATTATGGTTTATTTGAAAGAAAATTAACGAATTAAATTATTGGTTGGTTAATATTCCGTTGCTTAGATGTAATATCCAAATAAGGTGCTAGTTTAGGCTTACGTTTTGTTAATTTGTATTTATTTGTATTCTTTGGATGTAACATGAACATACAAATTTTTTTTCACTATTTTCCCGACCATGCTCTAGTTAGTGTTTCAAATTCGATGTGTCCTGGACACGTGTGGAAAATCGCCCCACATACAAGATGCGAGACAACTTCCCAATCGCGTTCAGGTCACAATATTCGGGTTCTTTATATTTTTTCTGTAAGTTGGGAACATGTTGTCGAATCAATTAACGTGAGTTCTTGTTGAACTGATCGTAAAAATCGTCAGATACGGCATTGCTCAAAGCCACAAGGGCTTCCTTTCGCTGTTTATCCTGCTCCACGGCCAACTTGGAATTGGCCCGCATCAGTTCGTCGAATTCCGCCTTACGTCGGCGATCATCCTCGATCTGATGGAGCACCAGGGTGCGATCCATGTTGATGGCATACTGCTCCCACTGCTTGTCCATCATCTGGGCCTCAGTTTTGCGCTGCGTTGCTAAACGGAGCTGCTGCTCCTGGCCCAAACGAAACACGCGAAGCTCTTCCGGCGTCATGCCACGATACATGAAAGCAATCTTCTTGTTCGGGTCGGTAGGCGATTGGGCCACATCCGGATTTTCGGTGAGCATGTCGCTGGAGAGCATGTTGTAGATCTCGGCCATGTCATCCTCGTATTTTTCACGTTTTTCCCGCTCGCGATCCAATTGCTTTTGCTTGGCCATGTTAATGTTAAACTGACGCACGCGATGGATAACCTGGTTGCGCATCTGGTGATCGGACTTGGCCATTTCCTGGAGGTGTCTGTCCCGGCACCCGACGTCCTCCATCTGCAGAGTCTCGGCTTGTTTGCGGGCATCCTCGGCCCGTTTGCGTTCCTGCACCTGCTGATCTAGCCAGGCACGTTGCTGTTCCCGCTGCCGCACCTTCCGCTCAACGTTGTAGAGATCCTCGCCCAGAAAGATCTGGGCACTGGACACGCCCAGCGTAATGTCATCGTCGGCTACGCGGGTTGGGCGTGCCTTCTTCAGGAAATCCGGGTCGTTCAAGTCGAATTCGCGACGCTGCTCCTTGCGCTGATAGCGACAGCGATAATAGTTGAGATCGGAGTCCACCACGCGCTGCTTCTTCTCCAACTCCTTCTCCTGGGCCGAGATCAGGCGCTTCTGCAGCTGCTCCTGCTCTTCGAACTTCTTGTCGCACTCCATCTGCGCGGTTTGCTTTTTCTTCTTCTCCAGGATTTGCTTATCCAGCATTTCGAGGTCGAGCTATGGAGACACTTCTTCGAGGATTTGGTTCATCAAATCGACTGCGGATTACTTACCCCGTAGAGACGCTGCTTGGCGTTAAAGATGCGCCGCTTGCGCTCATCCTCGTACTGCTCCCGCTTCTGCAGCTTCATCGCCTCGTCAAGATCCTGCTTAGTGCATATTCCGATTTTGAGCGTCATCTTGTTGGTATTGTACAAAATATACACAGCTATATTTATTTCTGTTCGATTTGTAAGGTCTGAAAAATGTCTGGCTTTCCCTGGAAGAAAAAATTAATATTTTATTTGAGTTCCGGATGAGTTTGTTTGCCCGGTTGCCGGGTGCTTTGTTTATTGTTTGCCTCTACTAAATACTCTTGTACAGTCGGACTTTCTGGGTTGCAAACTTCAGTCTTTTTGGAATATAATAATTCTTGAATGAGCTTAATGCATCTTGCCCAATATGGACAAAACAAATTATTTAATTTACCTTGTTTTTTAGGTCTGAAAACTTTCACATGATTTTTTTGTTACTTTCTCTTCCCAAGTTACATAAATTTCACGAATATATAATTTCGGCATCAACTGTACAACATTATTACAGCCAGCAGTCAAAAATAAAACCAACCGTACTTATTTTCTTACCAATTACGTATTTCAATTGAAAGCAAAATGGTCTAAACCTTTCCTCCATTTGTACAGACCGTGGCGCTTGACGTGTCCAATAATCGTTAAAGCGACCATTAAATAAACACCTAATGTCCATATTGCCCACATAGGCGTTTTGGCAAAGATTTTCACGTTTGAACTGGGAATTTGAATGCGGCTCACGTACCACAAAATAACCAATAAACAAATAAAAATTGGTAAATTCGATTCACTCGCGTTTGCTGGCCACTCCTCCTATGGGATACGCTTGAGTTGACTGGACTGAATTTGGTTCCCAGGCAGGGCCATTCATTTTTGGCAATTTATAATACCCTTTAAACCAACAAATTTGTTACTTAAGATTAGAAAAGCGATTTTATTTTATTGGATAGTTATTAAATAAAATTTCTTTAAGAGGTATCAAATAGTAGACTCATTGCTTTTTAAGAGTAAACCACAGTTTTTTGCCGCAAACTAAACAAATTTATGGAAATAAATACGCTGTTTGCGACTGGCATCAAGCATAACGAAAATTTGTGCGAAATATGTTAAAGATTAGAATCTTGTTATGCTTAACCAAAAGTCTTAGTATCCATAGCTAAGCAAAGTTTGCGTTAGTAATTACAAATTATGGGTTTCTTGCTAATTTGTTGACCCGACTAATCGTTTCCATCTTTTGTTTGAATTTTGCAGAAGAAGCATCGCCCTAAGCCACTCTATATGCGCAGGCAGAAGGACATTAGTCACAATATGCGCTCCATCCTGATTGATTGGCTGGTGGAAGTTTCCGAGGAGTACAAGCTGGACACTGAGACGCTCTACCTTTCCGTCTTCTATCTGGATCGCTTCTTGAGCCTAATGGCGGTGGTCCGCTCAAAGTTGCAGCTGGTGGGCACAGCAGCCATGTACATTGCCTCGTAAGTAGTCATTTAGATTTCCAGAGTTGTGTCAAGTATTTTTGGATTTTGTTTAATAATTTATCCCTATTTGTTTCTAGGAAATACGAGGAGATCTATCCTCCAGAGGTGGGTGAGTTTGTGTTCCTCACAGACGACAGCTACACCAAGGCGCAGGTGCTGCGCATGGAGCAGGTCATCCTGAAAATTCTTTCGTTTGATCTATGCACACCGACTGCTTATGTCTTCATCAACACGTACGCTGTGCTGTGCGATATGCCCGACAGGCTGAAGTTCCTGACACTGGTAGGTTCCTAACAAATACAGGTTTACGAAAGCATTCCAAACTCAATTTCTATCCTTAGTACATATCTGAACTGTCGCTAATGGAGGGAGAAACGTACTTGCAATATTTGCCCTCACTTATGTCGTCCGCTTCGCTCGCATTGGCTCGTCATATCCTGGGCATGGAGATGTGGACGCCGCAGCTGGAGGAGATCACAACCTACAAACTGGAAGACCTGAAAACTGTGGTCCTGCAGCTGTGCCAAACCCACACAACGTCGAAGGAGCTCAACACGCAGGCCATGCGGGAAAAGTACAATAGAGACAAGTACGTCAGCAAGCTATAGAACTATTTATGCAGTTCCTAATTATCGTATTTCTTACCAGGTACAAGAAGGTGGCTATGATCGAATCAATTGAGCTGACCAAGGATGACTTTGATCAGCTTTGCCAGGCCTATAACGCCAAGCAAAATGAGAATCAGCGCCAGCAACAGGAGAACGTGAATTTGTTTTATAAGTTTTAAGTGTTTTGCGCCTCTGCCATGGTCAAATTTTATTTTAGTTTAGTGTTTCCATGTACCATTTCGTAGATTTAATTTTAAGTTAACGCAATTGAGGAATCGCAGTTCGGTGCCACAAGACCAGTTGCATTCGAGCTCTGCATTGGTTGGCCGATTGGCAAGCTCCCGTAACAAGTACTGGACAATTTTATATGCGCGCCATATAAAAGATTAGTTGCCAACAAGTACGTTCACTTTCCAACACCAACATTCACGTCTGTCCACGGTGAGAGCTTGCCACGCCAAGCGTGAGCAGTAGGAACTGCGGCAGTCTTAGAAAACGAACCGACCAACAACGAGCTGAACTAAAATGCAGAACCCACTATTCACACACCGAACCTAGTTGTTCTGCTCAGGCTACCGATATTTTATATTTTACGTTACCACTTCATCAATTTCTGTTCTCCATGTATTTTTATGTATTTATAAATTGAATCATATGGATGTATACAATGTGTCTTTTGCAGGAACAGCTCGAAGAATTATTTTACAAAAACATATTTATATACTAACTATTAGGCCATGAATGTTCTGTGAACCACGAAACAAATACAAACGTCAATATTTACAAAAGACACTTACTTAAGCCGCCTACCAAACGTACAACCAACCCCCGACAGCAGCACAGCCAATCGTCCTGATCTGGTCCAAATGGCAGTGAATTGCTGCTTAACTCGTATTCATATTAATCTAATGACGCTTACTACACTTAGTCTAATCTTTCTGGTCGGTAGTTGGATTGATGTTGCTGAGAGCATAAACAGAGCGATAGCTAAATGCAGAAACCGAGTTGACGAGGTTCTACGCTAACATAACTTATATGATTGTACTAACTACTCAATGTAATTCGATAATAGCATTGCCGAGTGCGTCGTGCTCGCAAGCCGTATATTCCATATACCTATTGTATTCAATAAAATTGTGAAAGACATGCACAACAAAAAAATTTGCGAATAATAACCTTGTTTTAATTATTATCTGGAACTTTGAGAGTATATAGCTCTACTAAACTACAACTTCTAAATTGGTTTTAAAAAATGGGAATTCACGATATATCTTGTGTTACTGGGAATAAATTGAAAATACAAAACAAAAATTGTTAAATGCAACTTTACATACATTTCCACCATCTACATACATGCACTCGTATTTTACTTAACGCTTTAGCGAGCATACAAACCATTGTAATCAAAATGTGATTTTGGTTAAAAAATACATCTTTTAAAAACTATTTGTTTATGTGCACAATTTTTTAATTAAAAAATTATATTTTGTTTACGCAGATAATGTACTTGTTATTAAAGTTTCTTTATTGAATGAAGTTAGTCGGTTTATAACAGTTTTTAAATTGAAGTATACAATACGGCGGTATTTGTGTTTGGCAAATATTTGATTGTTCGGCAGCAGCCAACTCTTGTATTGATTCATGTTTAATTACTGTTTTCCCCCTACATTGAGGAAATCATTTCTAGAACTATTGTTTGACAAATGTGCCTTCTGAAGCCCACTGAAGAATAGATCCGGAGTTGAATTCCGCGTATTTAATAAAAGAGCCTGCTATCGCTCTAGTAAATCATAATTTGACAGGTTTCGAAGCACTTAGATCGGCAGTTTCTAAAATCTTTCAAATTATTCAAGATGAAGTTCCTTTCTGTGGTAGCGTTTATTGCCCTGGCCATCCAGTTGGCATCTTCTGCAACTGGTGATACTACAGATGCTACGACGACGACAACCACGGCGGCAACAACTACTACGACTGCATCAACCACCACGACCACAGCATCTTCCACCGACAAAAAGCGCTGCTGGAAGGGCAACAACTGGTGCCACACCCGCATCCCCGAGCGGAAGTGCCAGAACCCGAAAAGGTGCCATAAAACTGTCGTAATAGTAACCCACAGGAAGAACTAAAAATTAAGCTTATTTGGGTTGTAATTTAAAAAATAAATAATAAAAACTCAAAAAAAAATGGTAAGGGGCTAAGAAAATAAATATAATCAATCAAGATTGCTAAGTTTTCTATAGATCCTAAAAAAAGGCCAAACGTTCATAAAAAATTTTAATTTTTTTTTAGGAGCTAAACGTCCTTTATTATAACAAAGTTTAAACTTTTGTTAAAATGCAGAAGAATTAAATAACTCGCGACAATTTGTTCGACTTCCTGATTAAGTAGAATTACCATAAATACATATTCATCAAATTGAACATATGTAGATTAGGGGCCAAAAGTTCAATGCCAGCAAATTGCTCAAGCATTAATGGAAAATCACCTCGCTTTCTTTTCTTGAACAGTTATTTATTCACAAATCATAAAAAAGAATTTCAACAATTAGCATCGATGTTGTTTTCATTCGCTTTGCGTTTAATCACATCAAATCTCAGGCCGCGATTTCGAGGATTTCTGAGGATTCGGATGAGCTGGTATGGGGCAACAGATAAACGTGGAAAATGACAAAACCGAAATGCAATTTCTTTTCGCTTCGCAGGAATACGCCTCGGGCGATCGTTTCTAGTAGGCGAATCGGGTGTCCGGGTGGTAGCCGAGCTTGTCCAGCGCCGGATTGCAGGCAAAGTTGATCATGGGCGGTGGGCCGCAGAGCAGCACGATGGTATCGTCATTGGCGGGAAGCAGATGGGCGGCGATCATGTCCTCATTGATGAAGCCAACGCTGTACGGCCAACCTGGATGAAGAACAATAAACAAAAATATATTAGTCTTGATTTTCACTGAGTAGAGTTTCTGAGTGAGACCTGCTGCACACAATCTTTCCCACTGGCTTGGCATTGTGAAATGAAAGCAAAACTCAGGGATAGATTCTAGTTGGAGCTGCTAATCTTAATAGCTAAAACGCTGCTCGGCCCGGTGGCCAAGTCGCTCCAGGCCGGGAATACACGTGTAGTTGACCATTGGTGGAGGACCACAGAGCAGGCACAACGTATCCTCATCCGGCGGATACAGATGCTGCTGCATCATGTCGTCGTTAACGTGTCCGGTATTGTAAGACCAGGCTACGAACCGCGCGTTCCCCGTTCGCGGCATCCGTTTTAGAGCAGCATGGACAAGGGGCAGACACAAGATTCTTAACATAATAGATGCTTAGCACATGTCTTAATGATTCTCCGATCAGTTGGTGGCAGATGCGGATGAAGATGCTGCATGTGAATGAAGCTACCTAAGGTGGTTGTGAATTTTAGAGTCAAGGGAAAGATTGGTGCAGTCTACTAATCTAAATATTTGTGAACCATTTGGTTCAGCCTTTTGTGTTTGCGATTTTTATCGTATAATGCTGGCAAGTTTCTAAGTCGCCGGAAATTTGTAACATTTCAAATCACCCTAGATTAACTCTAGACTATATAAAGTTTAATATTATTTTTCTTAACTTCTTAAACCATTTTAATTATAGAATTACCTGCTTACCCTTTTTAACTAACACAGTAATTGTTTTTTATTCTAAAAATGCTCGTTCTATTACTTTAACTAAATTAATATCTGAAATAAAAATTTTTTTTGCCTAATTTGCTTAATCTTTTTTTATGATTATCTGATTAATAATAGATTTTGTAACTTTAAAAGACTAGAAACCTTTATGAACAAATGATGCGATTTGATGAACACGATCATATGATATATGCTTCGTTAGAACTGCAACTCACCTTCACCGGCCTTGTCGACGGTGTACCAGACCTTAAATTGATCGGGATGCTTCTGGGCCAGTTCGTCAAGTTCAGTGCGCAGCAGAATGTCTTTTTCACTCTAGGAAAATATGAATACCACAATATTAGAATCTTGGTAAACAATAATGCTGATTGGGTGACCCACCTGATTGGCGAACAGCAGCGCCAGCTCGGTCTTGTCCTTTTCGCTGCGCTTGAGTACTTCCCTGGCCAGTTGAAGCATGGGAGTAATGCCAGTGCCGCCGGCAATCATATTCACCCGCTTGGCGGTCACGTGCTTGGGCGGATCCTTGCGCAGTTTCTTGATGGAGAAGGTGCCGTTGCCCAGATACTGAAGACGGCCCGAGGGACCACGGAACGAGATCTTGTCGCCCAACTCGAGTTGCTCTAGATGCTGGGTCATCTTGCCGCCGGCGGGGAACTTGGGATGCGAGTCCTTGAAGTACACCTTGACCACCAGATCCACGTAGCCCACTTCTTCGTCAGATGAAATGGGCGTGTACGGCCGGATGACGAGCTCATTATCGATGGTGGCGATCAGGTGAATGTGCTGACCAACGGGCAGACCAAGGACATGTTGCTTGGAGGGCAATCCAAACCGGAATCGCCTGGTGTCGTGGCTGAGATTTTCTTTCTCGATGAGGGGCAGCAGATACTTGTCATTGGGGTCCACCAGAGTACGCAGGCGGGCGGTGCGATTGGGTTCCCGACGTGGCTTTGTCGACTTCTTGTTCAGCAGATAGTGGACGATCAGGGCGCCGGCAACCACGGCAACTACGCCCACGGCGATGGGGACAAACTGAAAGAAATATAACAAAAACAAGATAAGCAAGGGACTTTGATCAACAAATTAATACCCAATTCCTTTTTCGAACAAGTTCAAAGGTGAAATCGGATTTGGGGCGTACAATTTCAAATTAATTTATAATATTATAGTAATCTTTACATTGACCCAGGAAGACTTTAAGTTGACGGTTTACCTTTAGCTTATTTTTAAGTTTATTCTAAACAAATGGCGTATTGATTGAAAATAAAGATTAATAATCGCTTAATCTTGTATATTTCGCTCATAATAATCGTGTTTAGTATATGCTGGATTGCGTTTAATAGATTGCTTACGCAAGTAAAAAAAATGCACGTTTGCAGAAATTTAAATTAAGCTAAAAAAAACTTATCGTGGGAACCAGGTAAATTGAAGTGAATTTATTCAAATATGTTATATTGAACTTGATTATGTAAAATGAATATTCACTTTTAAAAGGTAAAATACATTAAAAATTGTTAATTTTAGACATCTAAAAAAATAAAAAAAAAACAATTTTTCCTAAAACGTGCTAAGCTTATGATCATATTAATTTAATTTAATGAGCAGCTAAGTGACAGTTAACATTTATTGAGCATTACCTATCCTAATTTTGTTTTCATGCGTTAACACATTATCATTTAACTATTTGTTATCTAAACTATTTTTTCGCTTAGTAATAGATGAGTAAACGCTTTTTATTATTGGTGGTCTTTTGATGGGCTGATTTTTAATGAAAGGTCACGATGGCTAGTGGAAACCTCCACCAGACAGTTTTGATGATAAGAAAGTAACACAAATATTTACTCTCAATTTTCAGATAGAGTTAAGCTATATTTGCGAAGCCCCTTCAAAACCTGCGGCTAATTGGGGTTACTAGCTTGAGACATCAAACTTTGGCCCCGTATCAGAGTCGACCTTGGGTTATACATATTTATATTTCTTTGCTTTTGTAACAAATACGAAACGAATTAGTCGTGACGTCACAACCACTGCTTAGATAAACAGAGAGCCGGCAATAAAAAAGTAGAGAGAGTGAAAAGGGTGACGGAGAAAAAGCTTGCACCTGAACTTACATCGAATTCCGTCATTTTATTAGAAAACACTTGTTAACTGGGTAATTTGCAATTTGAATTGCACACCGAACTTGAAAGCGACCGAAAACGTGTGACCGCGTGCTGCCGATTCCAATTTCCAATTGAAATGAAGTCAAGTCGTCGCGTGGAAGAGCCGCTAAAATACAAACTACCTTTCAATCTTTTTCTCTCTGAGATTAAAATGCAGAGTCAGCACAGTGGTTGCAAAAAGTATACGTTCAGTACTTAAAATGTCGTTGGTAATAAAAAGCTGAACTTTTAAGGAATCTATTCACAATTATCTTTAATCTGTTTTAGTAGTGTAACTCTACTGATAATGGCTTTTTTGTAAGATAAAAATTAACCTTTCCCTCATGCAACCGATTTTTAAATTTGTACTTTATTTACAAAAGAAATTATCTTACCTAAACAAAAATTATAAATTGGTTCTCTGGTTCGCTCAGGTACTAAAATATTTTAATAAATTATATCAACCAATCCGTTCTATAATTTTAGGCGCTGCTGTTGGCCAGATAAAGCTACAGTTAGAAGAGAGTATAGATAAGAAAAGTAAAGGGGTAAATCTTTAAGAGACCCATCGCCAGAGCCAACGACAGTTAAGGGAAATATCTAATACTGAGTATATTTGTATTTTATTGATTATGAGATTAAGAGTAATGTGGAATGTCAGAGTTACTTTTTAAGAGAGATGGGTGGGTGTATGAGTACGACTAGTTGCAACAGCTGATTCTTCCTCTCTGTGAACTTGACATTGTATTGCATCTTGGGATAAGGCTCACCACTGGTAGATTGCATCATAGAAAAAACTGACGACATCGCTTTCTCGGTCTCTTTGGCTGCGGTTTGGTGTGCAGCGCCTGGGCCTCGAACACCTCAAAACCGTAATCCCTGCCAGAATTGAGACGCAGAAATGCCGCCTTGTTGCCGCAGCGATAGCAATAGTTGGGTGCCGACCAGATGGTCACCAGCTGTTGGCCAAAATGCCACTGGAAGCCATCTGCTGCCAACTGATGCGCCCTGCATATGAGTGAGATTCCATTCCTTCGGTTAAACTCCTCCACCACATCCCCGCCAAAGAGTTGGCCATGACCGCGTGGCGATGCAGTCCATCCGGGTGCTCCCTGGGGATCGCTCCAAAGAAGATCCGCTATACAGCCGCTTTCGGGGATCTCGTGGCACCGATCCAGCTTAGGAAACTCATCTAACTGTTGGATTTCGGGCGACAGGCCTCCATGTACGCAAAAGATTTCCCCATCAATAATCGCCGCAAGGGGCAAGAGATCAAAGACTCGGCAGCACATCCTCCAGACATTGGCAGAACCATACTGGGCCAGGCACTCCTCGTAGAATCCATAGGACCGGGTGGCACTGCGGCACTCGTGGTTTCCCCGTAACAGGCTCACTTGCCCGGGATTTTGGACTTTGAGGGCAGCTAGCAGCAGAAAAGTCTCCACGCTGTTCTTGCCCCGATCCACTAGGTCACCCAGGAACAAGTACCGATGTTGGTCGACCGATCCACCCAGATCCAGCAGGTGCAGCAGATCTTGGAACTGACCGTGGATGTCGCCGCACACGATCTGCGGACTCTGCAGGCTCAGCAGGTTGGCCTCGCCGGCGAGTAAGTCACTCAGGGAACGACACAGCTGGCGCACCTCCAACTCCTTAGGCAGACGGACGGGATCCTGGCGCAGATTGGCCACCAGACGATCCGCATCACTCATGCTCTCAAGTCACCAGGCGGACATCATCTCTATTCTTAAACCGGCGACGTCACTGGCCAACAGTGATGAGAATGGTACTATTTTGCTCACGCTACGAGCCTACAGATACGTTAAAAATAAAACTAGATAGCCGGTAGAGGTGTGCCACTTCTTCGGATCAGAAAAGATACAAATGCTTTACCACATTTAGAGCTCTCTCTAGGCAGTGAAATTATATTTTTATGTATATAACATTTTTTTACAATGAACAAAAATATAGTTTTTAACTACGTGAAATTACAGTAAACTATGTCAATAGACAGGTTTTTATTAGTCTACTGTTTTTAATACTTTATATAAATATTTCAATCTTATTTATGATCAAATATAGAAGCTAGATTAGGTACAAATACAAAAAAATTGTACTTTATTATACCTAAACATCTGGCAATATTTAAAATAGTTTTTAAGCCATTAAGACTGGAGAATAATTACCTAGCGGGCATCTAGGAAAATGTACCACACGGAATTAAAAGGCTTTTTAGATAAATACCTAAGATGAGCCTAAATAGTTCCCATCACTGTTGACCAACAATGAACGCCTATGCAAAACCACCGAGGCATTTGGCCAAGAAAAAAGCAAAAGATCATTCACTGACAATTATGAAATGGCAGAAGGCGAGAAGAACAAGAAGAAAGTGGAGAAAGATGGGGGCGGAGCAGCGGATGCGAAACAGGAGTTATGTAAAAACAGCAGTGAATCGAATAGATTGCAATTAACTTACATTGCTCTCGACGAGACGCGCCATTTGTCAATGGAAAATCAATGCAGCCGCGACTCAAATGCCTTATATAATCCGCCAATTGCAACGGCACCACGCACTTATTTAATATCTACCAGCGAAATGCCGACTAAACTAATATGCAGACTAAATCGCGTAGATAGTGAAAGCAATGTTTTTATTTCCACGCACTTTCAGTTGACGAGAGAGTAAAAAAGAGCTCTCTTTTGAGAACGATTCTCTTTTTTGCGTCTCTTTACCCTCTCTTTCCTGAAATAAAATATGTAAATTAATCGAGTTACTAAAATAGATAGATCAAGATACTTACCCAGTACTAACGCAGCACTAGATACTTTATTTTTACATGCACGAAAAGCATACGTAGAGCAACTTTATAAAATATTAATAAATAACAATTTTCTCAGCTCCAAACAAAGCCGCAATTCCAGGGATGCTAAAGTAAATTTTGAACATACGAGTTGGCAGCACCGAAAACATCGCAACACAACATCACAGATTTTAGTCGGGGGATTCAACTCAAACTACAAAACGAATAATATCAAAGCTTTTATTTTTAGTTGCATGGGTAATTAATAGTATTCGTTTTTAAATGTTAAATATTAATTTTATTTTGTTAAATTTTAGATACAACATTGTTAAACATATTTCTTTAATATTGCCATTACTAGAAGTCCGGTGACTTAAAATTACGATTCATTATTAATAAAAATTGCTCGCAAGCGTATGGAACGGAGGTGTTTAAGCAGTGTGTGGAAAAATAATTTTAAAAATTTTATAACAATAATATAAATATAACAAAATATATTTCTTATATATTACTAATTATTAATATTAATAACTTGTAAGTGGCACAAAATAAAAATCAAATACGGGTAAAATTACCCCAAAGAAAATGGCCTCCTCCGAGGCCAAGGGTAAAAGCCCTATCTCGGAGTCGTCCAATTTTAAAAGACCGAAATTATCGCCCTTAAATAAAAAGAAAAAACCTTTAGACAAAAATGCAACTGAATGTGAAGAAGTAGAGATGAGAGAGGACAATGACATTGCAAGTCATCCTAGCACAAGCAGCCAAGTAAGTGGTAAAATAATAACGAACATTACTAACAAAGAGGAAAAGAAAGAAAATGGAAATTTCAATAACGGCGAATACTCATACAGCAGCGATCACAAGGGACCCTTTGTGGTATATATAGACAAAATTGGCGAAAGCAATGGCGAAAACCGACCTAATAGAGTACCAATAAATCCTCTGGAATTAAATGCGGTTTTATTAAAATTAAAAATAAAAGACATTACCTCAGTGAATAAGATTGGTTATGGACGTTGCAAAGCTGAGTGCAAGTCAGCGGCGGCAGCCAATAGCATACTGACATCTAACCTAAAAAATAATGGCTACGAACCAAAAATTTTTAAACATTTCATTTTTAAAATGGGTATTATTTTTAATATCCCAACTAAGTTCTCCGACTCCGAACTTAAAGAATACATTTCCTCCCCAGTACCAATTCATGATATTATTCGTGTTAAAACTAGAGACCGAGATAATAAAGAACTATTTATTAATACTTCGAGAGTTAAGATCCTTTTTAAAGGTACTCAAATCCCTAATGAAATCGATTTCTTGTACACCAAAATTAATGTTAGTTCCTATGTTCCCTTTAGCCAATGTTTCCGCTGCTTCAGATTTAACCATTTCGCTCAGCATTGTAAGCAAACAGAACAAAAATGCAGCAAATGCTCTCTTTCACATCCACGAGACCAACAATGCAATCAACTAGTATGTGCCAACTGCAAACAAAATCACATAGCCACCTCTCTTGAGTGCCCTGCTCGCAAGAGAGCGTACTCTATTAAGAAGTGCATGACTCTTGAAAATCTCTCAAGAAATGAGACGAAGCTTAGATACCCCACACTTTTCCAAATTTTAGATGAAGTAGACACCAATGATATAACAATTTTCCCTTTGCCATCATGGCAAAAAAAACAGCTATTCCCGTTCTGCAAAATAATACCAGAATAACAACCCAACATATCTTTGCACATAACCCGTTTAACAAAGTGGTTAGAAACTCTCTTAACAAAAAAAATGAAGAGAAAAACTCGCGCGACACCATGCTTAGCTGGAAAGCCGCTCTTAAAGAAAACGAGTACACCCCAAACGAAAAGTTTTCTCACGTCCATTATAATTCTACTAGCTCCCCAATCTCTAGTCAACATTCTTTCGACAATCCAGCTCTTGTAGCTGCAGAAAATAGTTTAATTCAATTAGCTTCTGATATATCCTCATTCTTAATCAATGAAACTACCAATTTAGTACCCGAATCAAGAAATTTCTTAGAAAACTTAAGAAACAGAATTGCGATTACGAACTCAAAAATTGATTTATTTAAAATTAATCAAGTTGTTTAATTTTAAATAAAACACCTTCTTTGTATCTATTATTTACTTTATTTTTTTTTTTTTTCTTTTTTTTTTTTTTTTTTTGTTTATTATCTGTTTTATTTTATTTTATTTATTTAATTTTTTTAGTTTTTTTTTTTTTTTTTTTATACTATTTAAATCCTATAAATCCTAAAACTATAATAAGTTAATGTCCTTAAAAATCCTTCAATATAACATTCAGAGCTTAACTGCTAACAATAATAAACAATTATTAGAATTATTCTTAGTTAATAACAATATAGACATAGCAATTTTATCAGAAATATGGGTTAGTAATAATTCCATGTGTGGCTTGGCAAATTACAACTTTGTATGTAAGCCACGCAATGATGGTTATGGAGGCGTTGGAATCTATTTAAAAAAACATATACGTTTTAAACAAATTAACTGTAACACTAGCCTAGAAGCCATTGGCATCCATACAACAAACTTAAAAAACAATATTAATATATTCAGCATATATGCCGCTCCCAACCCTGATATCAATTCCTTCGAACAAGGTTGTGTTGACCTTTTCACAATTGCGGCCCAATCAAGTGGTCTTTCAATCATAGGTGGTGACTTTAATGCCAAATCCAGCATTTGGGGTAATAATACTCAAGATGCCAGAGGCGGCATCTTAGAAAATTACCTTTTACAATCAGGTTTCTTTTGCATTAACAATGGCTCTCCAACCTATTCTCATAACCCAAACTACAGCTCGACTCTTGATGTCACATTCATCAATAATAATAATTATAGTTTAAACTGGTCCTCAATAAATTCTAAAATCTCAAACAGTAATCACTTCCCAATTCTAATAGAAATAAACCAAGTATCTACCTCAACTAATATTAATAAATTTAACCATCAACAAATAATTCAAGACTTCTCCAATCTTCAAATTACAACCTTAGACAATTTATACACTTCATCCCAAGCCATACACTCTAATAATTCGTTTAAAATAGACACAAATAATAGATATGTCCCAAAAAAATACTGGGACGAGGTCTGTGAAAAATTGTTTAGACTAAGAAATGCATGCAGACAGAAATATTTCAAATCCAAACTACACTCTGATGCTATTGCCTATATTAACAGCAATAAAAAACTCAACAACTACTTCTATAAAATGAGAAAAGAAAACTTTAACAAGCTTGCAGAAGATATCTCTAGCCCCTCATCACTGAAGGACATGTGGAACAAAATAAACTCACTAAAACTTTATAAACAAATCAAGACGCCCAAAAGTGCAATTTCTGACTCAGAACATAGAGATTTTCTTAATCAAATAGCCACATCACCCAACACTCCGATGTGTTCTGTGAGTTCTTTCTCTGTCGATCTGCTCTATAGATATAATAACTCAAATTTCTCAGCATGTGAACTTCTTGACTTTCTTAACTCCCGTAACCCAGACTCAGCCAAAGGTCTTGACAATATTTCATACAGAATGCTCCTAGCTTTACCATTAGAACAATTAAAAAAACTGGTATCCCTGCTAAACGTAACTCTAGACAATGGTGACATTCCAGATGTGTGGCGGAAAATAAAGGTTATACCTGTTCCTAAAAAAATCTCGACCCCTCAATTATCACTAACAATAGACCCATCTACCTTCTAAGTGTGGTGTTTAAATGCTTAGAAGGTTTGATAAAACTACGTATGGAAGAGCACATAAATAAAAATGAAATCCTGCCAACAAGATCCTATGCATTAACGACGTGATTAATAATATAGCCAATTTAAAAGCTCGTGGGTTCCACGTCACCGCAGCTGTTTTAGACTTAAGTAAAGCCTTTGACACTGTGAACATTCCCATTTTGGGTAGAAAACTAGTGAGTATGGGTTTTGACCATACTCATATATATTTTATTATAAATTTCCTCAGTAAAAGAGTTCTTACTATGGGTAAAGCAGAGGTAACGGTAGACAAAGGAGTTAGTCAGGGTAGCTGTCTAAGTCCAATCCTCTTTAATTTATATACAACTGAACTTCACAATTTATGCAATGACCAAGACAGTATTCTTTTTCAATACGCTGACGATTTTTTCTAATCTGCTATGACAAAAACTTCTCGTTAGCTGAAGAAAAATTAGAACAGAAAGTTAACAATTTTATGGAAATGTGCCATATAAATAATCTTACTTTTAATCCAAATAAATCGACCACTATTCATTTTAACTATAGAAGAAGACCTTTAAGTATATTTTGTGATAATATCTTTTTAAGAAACGTAGATAGTGTTAATTATTTAGGTAGAATCATAAGTGCAAACAACTCTTCTGTCCAGCATATTAAGAAAACGATTTCGAAATCCAACCAAACGAATATGTTTCTTCAACTGCTCAGTGGCTGCCGCTTTGGAATACATCCAGGCAAGTCACTGCTATTTTATAAAGCTTTCATAAGGACAAGATACGAGTACGCTTGCTCATCATTTTCCAACGTCTCAAAATCAGTGCAAAGTCTCATCAATAAACATGCCAACTTTCACCTTAGAAAAGCGTTAGGACTTCTTAGATCGACCCCAGCTAATATTATTTATAATCTCGCAGCAGAATTGCCTCCAGCGTATAGAATTAAATTCGCTACAGCTAAGGAGTTGGCCAAAACATTCGCTCACGGACTTCCAGCTGCATCGCTTTTATCAAATTCATTCGTTGCCAAAAATACTAGCTATAGTAAGGTCTATGTTGAATTTAAAAATATCCTTGATTGTATTGCTCCTATTTGTCCTCTCTCACTGTTTTCACGAAAAATCTCATATGACACACAGTTTTTAAAGGTACTTGCTCTAATAAAAACATGGCAAATGAAACAATAATCCATTCGCTGCTTAAAGAAAAAACAAATGGTTTAAACTCTGAAAATATGGAAATCATATACACGGATGGTTCTGTGTCGGAAAACTTCACAGGAAGTGCTTTCGTGCACTTGAATTCCAATACAATAAAAAGTTTTTACAATGACAAAAAACTGTCGTCGCTGACGGCTGAACTCACAGCCCTAGAAAAAGCCATTGACTTTGGTATATCAAAGAATTTCATAAGAATTGCCATTTTAACAGATAGTCTCGGTGCTATACAAACAATTAAAAACCAGAACTCTAAAAACTGCATTTCGCAATGTATTCATCAAAAAATAGAAAACAATCAAACTCTGCTCGCCGTAGAGTTTCATCACATCCCAAGCCATACTAAGATTTGGGGAAACGATCTAGCAGATATAGCAGCAAAAAATGCGAGATTCGACGGTTCCTTCATAGCTATCAGATGGACCCTCAACGACGCTATTAACCATATGTTCGCAAAAATAAAACAAGACTGGGAACGAGAATATAGCTTGTATTCATTAGAACGTAACAAAGGTTACTCTCTCCTCACACCGTATACCACTTCCAAGCCTTGGTTTAATAACAAGGAAAACCTCTTCAATCGGTTAGAAATCAAGATGCTGAACAGAGTCTTAAGCGGGCACGCTTTTGATCGACACACGCTTTCCAAAATGAAAGTATACAATAACGCTGTCTGCGATTCATGCAACAGTAACGAAGACATTTCACATATTTTGCTAAATTGCTCAAAATACACACAAATAAGACAACATTATCCAACACTACTTAAATATAGCGATATCTATCATTTACTCGGAAATGAACCAATTGAAAATTGGACATCGATTACCAATTTTATTCATGCTGCCAATATTAATATTTAATTTAACACATTCCACATCAAATAACAATTCACAAAATCATATAAATAATATTTACTAATCATATAAATAATAGTTACTGCTCATTTCATACATCATAACATCTAACACCTCATCTAATCAACTCACGAATTCATATACATTAATTTAACTCACACACATCGATAAACTCATCATCGTTCATCGTCATCAAAACACATCTTCAGAAATCACTTCACGCTATTTACGTTATCGCTTATTACATTTTGTTTATCCTGAAATTTACTTTCATGCATTGGCGGTGGCGTTAACCCGTTCCAACGGGGCGGCCAAATAATTCTTCCATCTTGACAAGATAGGAAGTAACTTAATATAAAAAAAAAAAAAAAAATAAAATTACGATCGTATCGTAAGATTGTTAAATAGTTATCTTACCATTTCAAAATGGTGCTAAATTAGCAGTAAAAACAATAATTAAAACTAAACTGATTTAACGAGCTCCCCGTGGTAGTTTGAAGAACACCTCTACTATCGATAAGACCTTGATACAGAAACTCATCACTCACATATCGGTTGCATCGTGACTGGTCTCTCAGCCCTAAAAACTTAGCTCCTCTTTCTTTCTAAAATTGCACGTTGAACAGTTAAGATGGCGTAAGTGTTAAATCCCAAAAATCACTAGGCATCTTTATAGTTTTCAGACTAATTTTAAAACAGAACTCTAGAGGGTCATTAAATAAGTCAGATCTTTTTATTTTTGGCAATCAGAAACCAGCTTTTTAGACCTTTTCCATGTCCTATCAGTTTGGAAATGATTGCAAAAGAAAATGTAATTTTTGTGCTAAATATGCAACTAATATGTGGGCTGCCATCATTTGCGCATTAGTTCGACAGTTAAAACAGTTATTTAAGATAATAGTGGAGGTTTATTTCCCTGGAATTTGATTATTAATGAATTTTAACTTGCAGATCGAAAGTTTCGCGTGATACGCTTTACGAGGGCGTCAATGGCCTCCTCGACGCTTCGGCCAAGAAGAAGCGCGGCTTCCTCGAGACGGTGGAACTGCAGATCGGCCTGAAGAACTACGATCCCCAGAAGGACAAGCGTTTCTCCGGCACCGTCAAGTACGTTGACTAAATCACCTGCGCACGTGTTTGGTGACCAACTCCTCTGGGAGTGGCGTCCCCCACGGCTTCAGGTAGTCGAGCATATGTGGCTGCCACATCTCGGCGGACCTGCACTCAGGGTCTTTAAAATTTGAGTAGGTCTCCAGCAATGGACACCGTCCCCCTTGTTAATTAAAACTTAAAACGTGCTCCCCCGTGGGCTTTGTAAGTTTTCCCCCTGTCCACGCCCATATAATATTCTAATTAATCTATTGAAATCATGGCTAATTAAAGGCTACCTTCTTGTTATCCCCAGGTTGAAGCACATCCCCCGTCCCAAGATGAAGGTGTGCATCCTTGGCGATCAGCAGCATTGCGACGAGGCTAAGGCCAACAACGTCGACTTCATGGATGCCGAGGCTCTGAAGAAGCTGAACAAGAACAAGAAGCTGGTGAAGAAGCTTGCCAAGTCCTATGATGCCTTCCTGGCCTCCGAGTCCCTGATCAAGCAGATTCCCCGTCTGCTCGGCCCTGGTCTGAACAAGGCCGGCAAGTTCCCTGCCCTGCTGTCCCATCAGGAGTCCATGATCGGCAAGATCGAGGAGGTCAAGTCGACCATCAAGTTCCAGATGAAGAAGGTGCTCTGCCTGTCCGTCGCCGTTGGCCACGTTGGCATGAAGTCTGACGAGCTGGCCCAGAACGTCAACTTGTCCATCAACTTCTTGGTGTCTCTGCTGAAGAAGAACTGGCAGAACGTGCGCTCCCTGCACGTCAAGTCCTCCATGGGCCCACCCCAGCGTCTGTACTAGATACGGCTGTTTATCTTTTTTTAACATCTTGAAATAAATGACTACATTTTCATAATGTACAAAATTTGATTATTTTATTGCAAGTAAGCAAGCCTTCGCATACTTGCTATTAAGCTTAAGTCTTTGGGGTTAGATTTTTAAGTTTTCCTGTCCCTTAAGCACTATTGAAGTCCTTACAAATACTTCCACTATGGAATCCAAATCCTAAGATTTCCCATTCTTAAACGGAAATCTGCTACAAGCTATTCATTATAAATATATAAAATAGGATTATATTTCAGTGGAGCTAATGGTTCTAGCCAGAAAATCGCGCACCTCAAGCGCAGCATGGGACGGTGTTTCATCGCTGAGCGAATTTTCCAGAGGTTCTGCTCTGAACTTGGACACATCCACCGAGTTGCCCCATTCTAGCATGTGCGGTTCGCTCAGTTCCTCGAGCAGATTGTGCAGCACGGCGGCAGCTGTGATGATGCAGGAAGCGGTGTGGAAGCTTATGTCCAGCGGCTGACTGAGGAAGCTCCAGCGGGACATGAGGCGATGCAGGGCGCAGTCGCTAGACTCCTGCAGGTGCTCGGCCACCTCGTTAAAATCGTGTTCGTGCGGGGCAATGGGATCGGCATAGCGCTGTAGCAGCCAGGGACGCAGGGGATAATTCTGATAAACCGGAGCCAAGACGAAAGCCGGCACTGGGCGGTTATTGATGCGGAATTTGGGGAGCGAGGAGAGGGTATTTGGCGTGTGCGAAAACATGGGCACCAGGGTGGAACGCTGGCCACAACCCAATTGCAGCTCTCGAAAGAGCATCCGGTCGTCCAGAAGATACTCCATGCGTAGCACCGAGTGCTTGGCTTCGCCGTTGGCCCTTATGGGAATGGAGCAGACTCCCAGGACGCCGACGAGGGCTGCGGGCATGTTACTCTCGCGCTGAAAGCCCTCCGCCACACTATTGCAGTCCACGGGATGCTGGGGCAACTGGCGGAGGGCCCGGCCCAAAGTGGACATCACGGCGTTGCAGAAGACCTTAAAGATGAATTAAAGTTGTTTAATGTGGGATATTTGAGCAGTTTTAGGGATCCACTTACTTTCAGGCATTTGATGGTCCTTGGACGGGGCAAGGAAAACCGCTCAGCGATCAATGACAGTCGTTCGCCGCTGGCCAGGAAGTAAAGGGCTAAGGCCACGCACTTCTCGGGCGAGATGGCGGGCAATCTTCGAGCCAGTTCATCCGCTGTTCGCAGAGTGGGGGCCAACTGCTTGCACAGTGTATCGAAGGTTCCCCGTGTAACGTGGAGCGTGTTGAGAAACTCCTCCTCACTCAGCTCTGGAATCACATGCTCAAAGAAGTTGGAATCGAAGCTGGGGAAGTCCGTCTGCACGTCGATCTGCTCCTGTTCCTCTCCCTCCACATCGCTTGCCTCGGAATCCGTGTCCTCGGATCGGGCATGCTTTAGGCGCAGCATGGTGTACATCTGCAGGTAGTTCGAGTGCATCTCCATCATTTGCTGCATGAAAAAGGAGCGCATCTTTCTGAATTGCCGTTTGGTCCTTTGCTGAGCCCTCCGCCTTTGGGTGACCACTGTGGTTTGCACGTGCTGCAGGTGCAGGCGGATCAGCTGGGCCATCTTCTCCTTGCGGCTCTGTGGACCATCGCTGTTGCTTTCTTTTAACTTGGACAGGGCATTGTTTAAGTCTCTGTTGATCAATTCCAATTCCTCGTCCATTTTCTTGTGCCTATTTTTATTAAAGATGAGCAAAAGTGTCTAATTCGTGCACATTCGATATCTGCGGATAGATGTTCACACTTGGCAAGCTTCATATATCGAGTTAAGCATTAGCCATTAACATAAAAAAAAATAGTTGTTGGAAATAAAACAAAATAGCGATAAACAATAAATGGACGAAGAAGATTGGATTTTATATGAGCTACAAATTACACCATTTACACTCAGTTAATTTTCTATCGATTTCTCACTTTGGAAACTGGAGTCTTTACTCAGTCTCGGGTAATCCAAGTTGTCAACCTGTGAGATTTTTACGTGCATAGTATATTTTAGGTATATTTTAGTATATTTTTAACACCCCAACCCCGGTCACACTGCGTCCTTCTTTTTCTTTCGTTTCCGGCGAGGTATGTGCACAAATTTCGTTTATCCACGTTTTTCTGTAAAATAATTGATAATTTCTCATTTTAGCGGTGATTAAAGTAACCATCAAGAAACATAATGGTAGGTTTCGACAGAATATCGGATACAATTAATATACCGAACCGGGAAATAACCAAAAACATCAGCCGCGGAAGCAGCAGCCCACGTGCATAATGAAATATTGCTACCCCAAAAACAATAATTTGTGCGCGGAGTCTTGCTGTGACATTTGGTATTCCCTGCGGAACGCAGTATATCAAAAATTAAGAAAATGCTTTGCAAACAACTTACAAGTGGTTGCTAAGTGAAAGTCCACCGGAAGATGCCGGAGAATTTTGAACATCGCTTAATCTTAAACCATATACGAAAAATGGCGGAATGTTATTTAAATGCTCAAATGCGGGGAAAAAAACGAAATTTAGTGATTTACCCTTATTTTTTACCTCCGTCTACAGGGTCGCGTACGAACCAAGACGGTGAAGAAGGCCGCTAAGGTCATCATCGAGAAGTACTACACTCGCCTGACGTTGGATTTCCATACCAACAAGCGAATCTGCGAGGAGGTGGCCATCATCCCCACCAAGCCCCTCCGCAACAAGATTGCCGGGTGAGTTTTACAGCGGGATTTGAAGAACAGTGATGTGATATACAAAATTCTAGTGAGGCGGAGTATTAATCGTCTTAATCGGAAGAGAAAAGTATTTTTAAATGGCTTACCATGAATACGAGATTTTGTGATCAACTTCAAGTGGACCAATGCCCATTTAACTGAAATATGACTTAATTTTTAAATGTTAATCATCAGATAACTAAGTTTGTCGAGTTAAATCACATCACTGTCTAGACACGGAATAATTTCTGAGCATATAATAACCTCTTAGTTCCATTCCAGCTATGTCACCCATTTGATGGGCCGTCTGCGTCACTCCCAGGTGCGTGGCATCTCCATCAAGCTGCAGGAGGAGGAGCGTGAGCGTCGCGACAACTACGTCCCGGCCGTCTCCGCTCTGGAGCAGGACATCATCGAGGTTGACGCCGACACCAAGGAGATGTTGAAGCTGCTGGACTTCCACAACATCCGTGGCCTGCAGCTCACCCAGCCCAACACCAACAACTTTGGACGTCGCAACTAAGTTATTTTATAGCGCGAAGACGATGATGTTCTGATTTGCATGGAATCACAATAAACCAGCTTGTGTGAAGTGCATTTGAAGTGTGCATCTGTGTGTTATCCCTTCATCTCGGTTCCAGGCTATTATTTTTTCGCCTTTGAATGGAATTTAGTTTGAATGGAATTTAATAGGTTCGTTTGTGTCTTTTTTCTTTTCCATATTAAGTGGAGTCTGGTATAAAGAAAAATACACAAATGTATAAGCTTTACTGCTTATTATAAAATTTGTAACCTGTGATATGTATTATATATACATACATATATGTATATTCAAAATTTATTTTTTAAACCTTGCAGTGTAAGTTATGAAAAAACAATTTAGATTGCTCACATTCTGACACCTATCACAGGAACCATCTTCTTTATGAAGTATTACAATTTGTTTATTCCTAGGCCACGTTCTTATCATCATGGTAAACAAAGTGCATAGAATCGAAAGGGGAGTTGCTCGACAGTAACAATTGCATTATACGCCAATTTAAATCTTATATCTTGAATTTATTATGAATGTACGCAGTGCAATTTTAAGAACAAATTTTTTTAATCAGTTTAATCTTCAGAGAAAAGTAAATGTATAATAAAATCTTTAAAAATATTAAAATTCACATATTTGGTAAAAACGACTTGGAAAAAGACAGTAGTAAATTAGGGACAGCAATCAAACTAAGTTTTATTTTAAAAATCACAAAATAATCATATTATTTTAAAAAAATATATCTAAAAATCATGATTAATTATTGATAATTTGCCCATTAGGGACTAGCAATCCTTAAGAAAGATTTTTTTGAGGTTATTGAAAATATTTTTAAATTCAGAAGTATGTTTTACAACTTATAATATATTTTAAAACTTATACACATTTTTGAAATTGAGACAAATGTATTTGAATAATTTTAATAATGGCACTGAGGGGGGTTATAGAATAATTGTACCTGGGATGTGTGTCAGATTTTGGTTGGATCTTCTATTTATCTGAAACATATACAACTCACATATTGAAAGTAAGCGCTTTTGAAGTTCGACTTGAAAATTTAAAAGTTATAAAAATAAAATAATTTTCGAGGTATAGCTGTACTAAACAATACATTCAAATTTTAGATAATTCGGATACATTTTCTTATCACGCAGTGCATAAAAAAAGTATTTTCGAGAATAATAGGTCTTAAAAATACTTTATACTTAAATTCTTTTAGAAGTATCTTACAAATTAAAAATAATATTTTCAAAGGGGTATTCTTTATGTATAATTTAATAAAAGACATTTTTCGTAAAATTGTAGACCACCGATTCCCTAAACAGAAGTAAATACTGGGCCAGAAAATTGAATATTAGCCAAACCTTTATGGGTTTGCGGTATGTTGTTGACCAATTAATTTGTTCATTTTAAAAAATAAATATTTTTTGAATCAAAGAGAATTTAATAATTAAAAAAGCAAATATTTATTTTACACCCTATGAAATGTTTGAAAAAGTGTTCACGCCAGCTAGATGCTTTGAAGCTTACTTTTGAGTTGTAAAAGTAACATAAATTATGAATTTCAAGGTTTGTGTTTTTTAACCAATAGTAAAAAAATAATATGGTATTGAAAAAATATGCCTTTAATTTTTTTTAAAATCTTCAATAGTTTATGGGTTATTCGGCTCCAAAATTTAGATAAACCTTAGGTCTAATAGCGATAAATATTGATGGAAAGAATGTGTAAAGGGATTACAAAGCAACAAAACATTTCCAAGTGAAATAAAGGCAAATTCTCAGACGTAATTTAATAACCTCAAGTCAGTTTTAGTTTCTCTTCTTTATTCGCATTCGAATGGAATACACTGTAGACATGCACATATTTGTAAACATGTTTATATTCAATCCATAAATATATGGGTTCGTTTCTATACAGACGATATATAAAAGATATTCTCTACGAGTGCACAATATTTAAATCTAAGTGTGTACGCAGATGCCAGTATATATATTTATATGTTATGTATATGAAGGGTGGTAAGTATACGCTTGATTGTGCCTTCCGGTTCAGGAAGATGCTGTTGTAATGGGACCCACGGCAGGATCTTGCTGAGGTCTTCGCACCGGATTACGCAAGACCAGCTCGGAATCCTCCGATATGATGGGCAGTGCATGCGCCCAGTGGTAGTTTATTAGGTGGCTAATGCTATCGAAGATGCGATCTTTGGTACGGACCACGCCCTCGGGGTCGATAAGCAGCAGATGCTTGGGTGTTTTGCCCTCCAGTCCGGTGAGCACGTACTGGCCTCGCTTTCCCTGTGACTCGCGCACCAGGAAGTCACCATCCTGCTGCAGCAAACGCTCCGAAATTGGTCTGGAAATGCCCGCATGGAACCACACCTCAGCCGTGAGAGGACACTGCGGACCATCAAACACATCGCGCACTGATGCCAAAACGGAGCTGGCAGTCGAAGAAACTTGGAGTGGATCAAAGTGTCCTAGCTTATTGGTCGTCTGATCGGGAGGCGGGGAGTTGAGGTCGATGAGGTTGCTGCTCAGGCGATCTCGTGGCTTCTTAAGGTTCAGCTGTGCCACACGCTGCTGCTGTACCTGCTGTTGTTCCGGAAGTTCTGGCGGCAACTTGTTGGGCAAATCGTTGTAGTATTCCTTCACATTCTCCTTGCAGCTCTGGTTGATGTTGCAATCCCCAGAAGCATCATTCAGCCGACTGAGCGCGTTGAAGCGCAAGTCAAAGGCCTTGCCAATGGTCACTATTAGATCCTCGCTCTGACCACCAGCACATTCCAGGACATAACAAGCTCGCCATTCATCCTCGTTTTTGGCAATGTAGGCCAGGAAGTCTAGAGTATCATTATCACCGCCTGAGGCAAATGATATACGCGGCATATTGTGATTGGCTATAACCTCGCCCGATTCCACATTGCTGAGGGACAAAGCTCGACTGGAAACATTGATGATGATGTTGGTGCCGGCGTGCTGCATGCTGGGGCGATCCGATATGAAGCTGGTTAATCTCCGCTTGCCAGCAGACTTTAGGCCAGCCGCCTCGCAAACTCGATTGATGCACTCCCTGTTAAGTCGTGGAAAACACATGATAATGCCGATGGTGATTCATGGGTAGTGCTCACTTACCGGGCCAGCTGCGTTCGGGTCTCGAAATTGAGGGATTTCATTGAGGTCTTGACCTCCACGCACCCCGTATACCGTACGTTAAATGCAACACCCACGCCCATTATGACGTCGTCTGGGTAAATGCAGCCATCGCTGGTTGTCCGGGAACCGCTCCGGTTGCCGGTGTCGCCATTCTTCGGCATTTGTGCGGTGGCTCTGGGCGTTTGGCAGCGATCGGGCGTCCTCGCTTGTCCTTTTTCCGGGGAAGCAGCCTTTGTTATTAGTAATTCTGATATTACTCAAGGTGGGACCGTATTGGCGAAAGTGTGACCGCAGATGCCGCATATCGATAGTTCATCACGGGTGGAGTTGGAAAATGTTTAAAAGGCTAATAATAGCAACCTTCATTTCACGGTAAATAATTTAATCTGTTTTGATAAACTACCATTTTCTTAAGTGCTTGCTGACAAATCTCGGACATATAAAGCCTCTATTGAGTTAAACTGGTTTTCGAGCGTCCATTGGGGAGTGAGTTAGTACATGACCAAACATCCTGTTTTCTGTTGGAGTAAAAGTCAGATCAAGAAGAGAAGGCATTTCACAACCAAATTAATTCAGATATTATATATTATTAAATAAAAAAGCTTTTTAACTATTTTTATGTATATGGACGACCTAGTAATGACTTTGGCTAATATTTATTACTTAAATTTAAATTTGACAACTAGAAAATATCAAAAGTTTATTTGTTCGATAGCTGTGAGTGACTGACACTTTCGAAACTCCCATCGCCAAACTATCGATAGGTAAATCAACAGCCTGCCACCACTGTGTTGCAAGCCAAAGCTTCGCATCTGGCTCCACAGTTAACCACTTCACCCCCAAAAATCTGTGCTCGCCGCAAACGCTGCTCAGTTTTTAACCGACTTTCGTGCAATATCCACGTTACGGCCATCCGGCTCTTTACTTCGATTTCCCACGGCGCGTATACATACACAAACAAACAAAAGCAACAAACCAGCGGCGAATCACCAGGTGTGGAATTATGTGTTAGAGCAAAACAAATACGGAAATACGGGAGACACAGCTCTCGTAAACATTTTTTTGGCCGGATTAAAACAAATTTCAAAATCAATATAAGACTCCCTCTCCCGCGAATGTCTAAGTGAGAGAGATAGATACGCCCGCATCTCAACGCGCAGCATCCGAAAGCGAAAAGTGCAGCAAAAAAGCCGGAGTAGTGCGTGCATCCGTAGCGCCACTGGAAACTGGAACGAGCACTCGTATAGCCGTGAGATATATTTTCAAGCCCAATCCCTCCGAGGTTGCTGTTTTACTTTTTTACCGTTGCGGTGAGTCTGCCCTCGTCAAGCTTTCTGTTTACGTTTATGCCATTTTCATATCCATTTCCATTCCGCTGCCCACCGCTTTCGCGTTCGTGCCGCTGTAGTGTGGCTCAGTGGGCACATAAATAAAACATCTTTACGTCATGCGACTGGGCTCTGAAGTCATTATCAAAAGACAGCAGCGGCCATTGGGATATAGCCAAAAAAAGATTTATTTGCGTGGAATTTACAGTGGAACTTCGATAAATCGAAGACTCGAAACTTTGACCAATTAATCAATCTCCAAAGTCCCTATTCAAATGTCGGGTTTTGTTGTCAAGACATTACCAACAGACAGACAGGATGGCCAAAAAGTGCGTCATTTTCCAAATTTGCAATAAAATATTAGACTTAGATTTTAAAATTTAAAAGATGTATATTTACATATATGTTTCGAGCTTCTGATGTCATGACCAAAATACTAAGCAAATTCTAAGATTTTAACCATTAATTTAAATAAAAAAGTTACCTTCAGTGGGGTTTCTTTAAGTAAGTTTCCAAATTTTCGAAAGACCAATTGGCCCTTTTATTTTAATGCCTTATCCTCAATAAGTAAATAGAACACCATCAATATGAAATATAGCCATTATTAGTAATTAAAAAAGATTTAAAATAATGTATTAGGGATGACTACTAAAAACTTAATTTTATAAAATATCATAATTTTAACATTGATATTTTAAAACCAGGATCTCGCTAAAGAATTAAAATAGCAAGAAGAGATTTTAACTTTTTGAAGTCACCTTTACAGAATTTCTATTTTAGTTTACCAAAAAAAAAAAGTGATTCATTAGGGCTGCAGGGCAAAACAGATCCCATTTAAGCATCGTTCATTAGGAAGGTGATCTCATCGGCGGCTGCTTTCTTCCCGTTCTGCGTGCGACTGCAGCCTGGCCTTAATTCACGCCCCTATGCCGATCAAACGGCAGTCGAATCACGCCTAATATGGTTCACATTTAAGCTGGCTCAAAGCGTTTCCCGCCGTCAATTAAACACGATGACGTTGACCGCCAAACCACCCGTTCCATTCATGGTTTACTGCCCGACGCGGACACCCACGTTTCGGCCTTGGTTTTTTGTTGTTTTTTTTGCTTGCCAACTGTTTTAACTCCTCCGGAGTCTCGATTAAAGCAATTGATAATTGCTACAGAAGGCGTTGTTTTCTGGTTTAAACGGCCTATGGAGTCGCCAATTGCTGGCACCTTCGTGCTAAAATCGAAAGGAAATCAAGCTTGGGCAATTAGGCGCTTGGTCTTTAATCGAAAATGAAGAAACAGCTGTTCATGCATAGACACAATAATTTTGAGGCTTTGAATCTGTTTTTATCTTTTTAGTTAGTTCGAAAATATATACACAATGAATCTTTGCCATAGAACAATACAAAAGACCTAAAAATACCTAATATCTATATTTTTAGTGGTAGCTTTAAGTAGTTTCCTTTGCTCTAGATATCAAAAGTGAAATACAAAGAATTACATATGCCAACCAAGGGACATTACAGCTTATGTACTGTAGAAATTTCTCTAGCTTTCAGTGACCTTTATTACAGCTTATGTGCTGTAGAAATTTCTCTAGCTTTCAGTAACCCTTATTATTATTCTCTGGGAATTCATTCCCTTGCTTTTGTGTTTTGTTCCTAACTTTTAAACATCACCACTGTTTTAATTTTTTTAATTCTGTTTAAAGGGCAAATAATTACAGGTTTTTGAGTGTAAACGGTTTTCTGATTTTGATAGACGTTAGTATTCCGAGGCTAATCCGTTTTAGGGTCGAACTTTATTTACAAGGAAAGAGAACTTTCTAAAACCATTGGCCCAAAAAAAGATTAACAACTGCTAATTGCTATACAAGGCCAAAAATGTTAGGGTTTTAGGCTTTAATTGGCCTATGATATGGAGCCAATCAGCTTGCTAGATATAAATAAGGACGACAAATAGTACCTTTTTCTATTAAAAAGGCAGTAACTTTTATTTCCATCTTAGATTAATAAATATCTTATCATGCCAAAATAACAATCAACAAAATTAAATTTGCTTCTTCCCACATAAACTCTCAAAAAAATTTTCCTTATAGTTATAGTAATTCATTTATTTTATTTTCGAACTAAATTTGTTTATAACAGCAATTTTCTAATGGTTCACTTTAAATCAAAATATATTTTTTGTAGTATCTCCTAGAACCTTTTAAATACAACTTTGAATTTTCTGGATTCCTTCAGAATAAAAAGAAAGATGTTCATGCACTATAAATAAATAAAAGATTTCATGTTTTATTCGATTAGAATCCTTTCCAACTTAGTTTTTGATTATTGTTAAAAAAACATTTCAATTTTATTAACTGTGCGAAAACAATTGGTTTAATTATGGCGCACCCTGTATTTTTACAACATGTGCTGCGTCACTAACAGCGCACGTCTAACATTATCTGTAAGAATAACAGTAACAAATTCACCTCGTGCGATTTCACTTCACTTGTTCGTTTTTTTTTTATTTTACTATCGCTTTTTATTGGTATTTAATTACAGACTATAGTACATACATTTACACACATTCTCAGACTGTAGCATGTGCACCACTAAGAGCTATAACACGTTGATTTCAAATACTAAATTCGCCACTCCCCCGCCGTTGTTATATCTCATTGCCCCATCAGCTGCTCAAAGTCCGTTACGTAATACTGTGCCCGGCGATAGACCTCCGGGCGTACGACATTACCACCAAAACCAATAAAATAGTTCGCTGGCGGCACGGCCTCCAGATCGGTGGCTCCATCGCCGATCATGGTGATGAGGGAGTCCTCACTATTCTCCTTCTTTATCAGGGCAATGGCCTCTGCTTTTCCTCCGGAACGCGATGTGGGCTGGGTGATGTCAAAGCTATCATATTCGCCCAAATAATCGAACAGCATCTTGTTGGCATAGACATTATTTAGGGGTATTCCCAATTCGTTGGCCACGGGAGCTATGAGGCAATCGAATCCGCCCGAGATCAAGTAAACCTGCTTGCCCTCCGCCTTCAGGTGGGCAACGAAGCGTTTCACGTTTTTGCTCAGTGTACTGGGTCGTTCTTGGATGAAATCCCTTACTTGCTGTTGGGTGGGCCGAATGATGTTCAACCTTATTTTGAGAGCATCCTGGAAGGTCATAGCCCCGCCCATCGCCTCCTTTGTCACTCGCGCCACCTCGCTTCCTTTGCCGCAATATTCGGCCAGCTCATCGATGCCCTCCTCGCAAATCACCGTGGAATCCACATCGAAACAGACAATCTGCGACTGCTGGATGACCTTGGCCGCCAATTGGGGTTGTTTGGGTGGTGTTATGGCCGAGGCCACGGTGGTTTTGGCCGCCCCTCCCGAAGTGCCATTGGCATTGCAATTTAACTGCTTGGCCAAAAGATGATGGCCATTTGTGGCTGCTGCAGGACGCGTCAAACTCAAAACGGAACCGCTCATTTTGACCGGCGAACACGTTGTGATTTTTCGGGTTTATTTTATATCTATGGATTTACCGCTTGACGTAAAAGCTTCGGCTTTGTTTGGTCTCCAAAATTTTCCGCTGCTTCTTTTTTTGTGTATCTCAATATCTTGTGCTTTTTGTGTATGTTTTCTCGTTTCTTTTTGCACACGCGCTTCGCGTTGCTGCCCAGCTGTTATTTGTTTTTGTTTGATAAGTGGTTTTGTTTTGTGTGCTAGCGGGTTTTCTTTAGTCGAACTGCTCACGATGACTGATTTTTTACAAGTGACTCAAAAACACTCGATCGCCCTTTTAAGAAAACCCGCTCAACGCACACAAAAGCGGGTTCTCTCTTTGTCGTTCTCTCCTTTTTCACTGACCACACCGAAAGAAAAACTGATATTAAATATATTAAAAATCAAAACTATATTTATAAACCTGAAAAAATTTAAAGAATTTATTGGTCAGAGGAGAGCGATGTGAACTTGGACTTCCTTAAACATCGGCATATGATCTACGCTCTGGTTTATTATGACATTAATCTTTCGTAAAGGAATGCATAAAAATATATACACAAAAATATACACATTTTGTATATACTTTTGTCATGCTGATTTCAATTTGATATTGACCTGATTTTTTTTCTGTGCAGCGATCGAACGATAAGCATTACAAGTGTGCGAGAGATATGTTTGTATGTTACAAATTCACAACTGTTTATATTTTTGGTGAGACTTAAACGACTTTCAGATCACCCTTTCTTCATTTTTTATCCGCGAATTACGCTCAATTCTTATTTAATCAGTTTCAATTGAGAGAGAACTGCTTTGGGTGGACAAGAACCTTTGAACCCAACATGTGCTGCATGAATGCGACGATGTCTGCTTATCACAAAAAAAAAAACAATAGAAACAATTATGATTTAGCTGTCATTAAACCCGCGACACTCGAGTGTTTAGAAGAACCGCCTGGAACTGGATTTTCCAGCAGCAGACCATCATGCCTTATCTTTTGTGGCACCATTTAACACTGGGTGATTGCCAGGAGACGGGAGTTGGGTCTAGGCATCGGAAGACTACCTCAAAACAAATAACAAGTGTGGCATTTATGACCCCGGTTCTTGAAATTGGTCTGATGACAGTCTGTATTCTTTAGCACGAACCCAAGATCCTTGTAAATCAAACATTTATTTTCTTGATTTTTACAAATTTTTATTTATCCGTTAATTTAAGATTGGTAAGGGAATCTTTGTCAACTTTCTTTTAAATATTATTTTAAAATTGTTTGGTTTTGAATTCATATTAACAAAAACAAAGTCAATAGCTATTCAAATTATTAATTATCCTATAATTCATATTTTATCAGGTTTAAACCAAATTTTAAAGTTAGACTTTATTTGAAATGGCCCTTATCAGCTTTAATGCGCAGTGTACTTTTTGTGTCTGGTTGATCTCCCTTGTTTTTAATACTTTCTTTTTTGCTTTCACAATTAATCATTGATGTGGAAAATAACCGAAATCTCAGCTGATTAGAGCTTTGAGTATTTTTAAAACGCCGGGAATTCTATTTAAACTGTATCGGACATTCTGATGCAATTTTAAGCTACTATTGCAACGTCATATGTATGTTGTAACGTAAGCTGAGAATCTTCTCCCATTTTTTCTCTCTTAATAACTCTCGATTCTTGTTTTAGTCTCCGGTAATTAGATACAAATCAACTACAAAGCGAGGCGCGTGCATTGCAAGCGACAAAAACAACAGTGGGGGCTGCAAATGCAATTCCCTCTGCGGTTTATTGCTGTTATCGTCGCTATGGCAATTTTTCGCATTTGTAGAATAACAAGTTGTTTTGACCGTTCGCGATCGTTCGTTTGTGGTAAACAGTGCAAAAACAACAAAACAACTTTGCGAGACCGCAAAAAAGTATTTCATTGCCAGCGATGACACGTTATCGATAACGATAAAAAATTCTTTGCGTGTTGTGCGTGCATGTGCATGCTTGAACATGTTCTCATGCATATTTAAAGCTTACTTCGGCCAACGACTTACACTAAACAAAGCCGTAAACAGTTGACTCTTTTTAATTGCCGTTGCCTTGAGCGACCAAGGAACCTTATAGGAAAGAAAATACTGGGAAAGAGCGACAGGAACCACACCTGCACCTTTACCTGAGCCTGTCAGCGGCTGCGGCACCTGTCGTTTGTCGTTATTTTTTTAGTTTGACTTTTCCCTTGCCTTGGCAACCCGTCTTTGGTTTTTGGGTGTTCCTTTCGGGTCTGCATTTATTGATTGACCTTGTTGCTGCATAAATTTCCAGCCAAGTCCGTTTCCATTTTGTATACTTTCCATGGACATACAAAGTATAGAGGTAGGCTCGTCACCTGATCCGAAACGCCCGGCAAAGTACCTGAGCTGGCTAATTTATTATGCCCATCGAGTGCTTGACGCGATAATGGTTCAAATTTACGAAAAATTCATTGAGCAGTCCAACTGCTAATTCGAACACTTTAAGAACATTTGGGACTCGATTTTAGATATAATATTTACATTTATAATAATAATATTTTTTTTGTTAAGATGAATGATTTAAAATTTTTTTAAAACCTACAAATTAAATTAAATTTTAAATTTTTGTCAGGGAAAGTGATCCTCGATAACTTTATATCGACAATTGGAATTAATAGAAAATCAAGTAATTTATCGTGCCTGAAACAATCCCTTTAAAAGTTACTTTTATGGAATGTCTACTGCTCGTTCATTTATAGCAACATGGAATTTGGTGAGGCAGTTGCCAGCTGCCTCGTAATTGAGCTCCCGGCCACACCCCCAACTATTGCCGCCCACTTTGAGTCGGAAAGCCGGAGGCTTGCATAATGACACGACACTTTGTAGGATTGTTTTTCCAGCCGACAGCTGATAGGCTAGGCTAATTTAGCTATAGCTCTAGACTGAAGGCTGCGTGAAATTGCTGTATTAATTTTCATCACCAGGCAGATTAATTGGAAAATGACTATTTATACATATTTGTTTTGCCAATTGTCTGCACCTCTCGATTATTTGATTATTTCTCAACCATTTATTGTTTCCATGCCGAGTTGTTTTTGTGCTGTCTACTGATTAACCGTAATATTGTGACGATCCCCCTTTCCTTTCAAACACTTGACTTGTTTATTGCTGCACGCGATTTTAATTCCGCTGATTAACTCTCTCACGCTCTCACATTAACTACACACCTTCAGGTATGAAGTATAATGTAAGCCAGAGAGAGACAAACTCACTTGACACATTTACAAGTGGAGCAAAAAGGGGAGCTCAAGAAGTGCATTTTCTCTCTCTTATTCACTCCTTATGCGGTTCGTGGTTTTCTTTGTTGTTCTCGTTATTTTGTCGTCTTGTATTTTTGTTTTGCATCGCTTGCTGTTGGATCATAAACAGTTACAAAGTGGGCTGATTTTGTGTATGGCAACGTCAACGGTTTAGCACTGGAAAATAAACAGCCATTGCAATAACAACAACAAGGTAGTCCCCTTTGCTGGGGGCCACTGTACGTGTGTGCAACTCACAGCCGAAGTCAAAAAATCAGTACTGAATAGCTGTTGTTGATTACTTATTATTTTTAAATATTTTGTACTTAATATTCTTAGCAATTATGTTCAAAAAAGAAGGTGGTTCCTAAACCCCCTAGAAAATGAGGCTTTGCTAGAAATGTAAAGGTCAAATGTCTTAATCGGAACAAATTAAGAAATCTCTACAAATTTAATGAGGTTTTAGTGGCATACTACAGTTCTAAGGACATTTCGTAAATACGTTTACAGGAATGCAAAGATATTATATATATATTACTAATGCTTATATTGGTTTGAATTTATATTATCTAATAGATCTCAATAACTAGTTTTTTTTTCATTTCAAATTCATGTTTTTGATTTCAGTGGTTAAACCCAAACGATTTTAAACTTCTGTAGTACTATTACTTTGAAAACAGCTGTAGGTGTTGTTGATATGTAAAAACGAAATGAAAACACGTCATTTGCCGACAATGGCTTTTCTGTTGCTATCGCATTGGAAACTCAGGCAGCGCTGCTAACTGCGAAGCTGGCAGAGAGTTGTTTAACTTTTCCCCTGACAAAACCGTAACAAAGGCAAAAAGTTTTGTTGCCCTCCCCATCAAAGGTAATTACAATTGAAAGCTCTGCTCTGCGTTATCGTCATTCCCTGAGTTCTCAGGGTTCGTTGCACTCCGCAAATTAACAAAGGCGGTAGTGGCATGCAAGCGACTAACGGTTCGTCCTGACAGACACGCCCTCGAAACGGAAGCTTTATCCCTATTCCCTTCGAAAAGGATTCCCCGCCGAACGCAACAGTTTCGATTGTAATCCGACCCTAATGCGATGATTTGGGTCAACAGGCGGAGTCGACAACAGAAGCAAATGAAATGCTGATGGCGAGCCTTTGCCCCCAAAAGAACACTCACAAAAATTGTCATGAATATCCCAATAACATTCAAATTAAATAGTAAAAAAAAAAAAAAAATGTAAGAGCAGGTCTTATTGTCAAACCAACTGGAGAGAGTTATCCGCTTTTCAGACTTAATTAAATATGACTTTTGATTTCGATATCCCTATCCTACAAAATTTAATCATTAAAAATTGTACTTCTCTGTAGCAGTTGAAATTTGTGGAATTCCATCTTGCTTTCAATATTTAGGCACTCTAATAAATTTAAATACTAAGTTTTCCCAAAGTATACACGTGTGGGCTTGCATCTGCTGAATCATTGACGAAGGCGGGACGTGGGCAAAAGCAACAATGATTGGCTTGATTGCATGTGCAGCGTTTCCCACAACGAAATAGACAAAGCTGTGAGCCAAAGTCGGGCTGATTCGAGCGGCATCAGATAATCAAATTGTTTGCGCACCGCTTTCGCAACGCTCCATTAAATTCGCAATTCTCATTTCTCAATTGCAGGGGCTGTGCTCATACACACACACACCAAGTACACCAACTAGAGACTAAAAGAACAATCGAGGGGCAACATAATGGTGGAGTTCCGCTTCGATATCAAGCCGCTGTTTCCGCAGCCAATTATCAAGGTGACATCGAACCTCCTGCCGCACACATTCCGCGGCGATCGGCGTCAGTGTTTGTGAGTATTGAAATTGTACGCGGAGTGTGATCTAAAATTCCCGATCCGACTAACCGATACGCTTTCCACACTCACCCACGCACGCAGAGATGCCACCTCCAAGATGTCGGAGATCATCGACCGGCTGGGCCAGCTCTCGGCCACCTCGCAGGGTCTCAGCAAGCCGGTGACCACGGCCCAACGTCTGAGGATGTCCGATAACCAGACCATCTATCTGCTGGCGGATAGTGAGGCGGGTCAAAAGTAAGTAGTCTAGAGCAGGGAGAGCATTAATATAATTTTTACCAGAGCGTTTTCTAATTAGTTTTTTTTTCTAGTAGATCTAATTTTTTTTTGTCTTCCATAAAGCATATATTTTTATCTTCTGTGATTCCTATAAATTAAATTAAAAACATTAAACATCTTAAAAATAATGGATGAAAACCAATTTGTTGATCAATTGTCTAGATCAACAAATTGGTTTAATAAAGGCATATTTATATAATGGCTATACGAAGTTATGGCATAATTCATCCATCATCATCGTTATTTTATAATTCAATTAATAAAATCAAAACATTTCAAACTAAAATAATGTGTAACCATTTTCAGTGGCGCCGTCACGGGTCTCCTTAAGGTGGGCACCAAGGATCTCTACTTGTTCGACGAGTCCGGGCAGACGCGCAAGGTGGAGCAGGCTCCATCCATTCTGGACTTCTATGTGCACGAGTCCCGTCAACGCGCCGGATTGGGAAAGCGTCTTTTCCAGACAATGCTAAGCGAAGAGCAGTGGACGCCACTAAAGTGCTCCGTGGACCGGCCGTCAGAAAAGCTTCTGGGTTTCCTCAGTAAGCATTACGGATTACAGCGGGTCATTCCGCAGGCGAATAACTTTGTACTCTACGAGGGATTCTTCAACGATGCGGCCTCAGCAAATGGACACGGCCACGCCCAGTCGCCGCAGCGCACCCAGAATGGCCTGCACATCACAAACAGGTGAGTGGATTGGTGCGGAGGAGGCGTCGCCTTTCCTGATTTACCCACCTGGCGCAGTCCGTGGCAATTAAGGCGTTGCTTTCGCCGCTGCAGGAAACATTTCACTTTCGGCCTCAGTTGGCCATTTCTTTTGGCCCCATTTGCATATCGTATGCAAATCGGACTCTAGATTTGTTTGTTTGTTTGCCGTAGGAAGCCCGCTGATCGATAAAACTCGGTCGGAGTTGATTAATAACGTTACTTTAATGGTGGCCTGTTGCTTGCTTCGCTTTCTTAATTCTTATATACGACTTGTTTTGCTACTTAAGAAAATTTTTCAAAAGTGCTTTAGAACTCCTTTCTTAAAAGTGAGCAATTTATAAAAATTGGTTAACTTACTAACAGATAACTCTTTATAATCGTTCAATTTAACCCCATTGCTTTCTTTTACAAAGGGATCAAATGTTAAGCTATTGATATACAGAGATTTAAAATTGCTTATATCATTCCTAATCCTAAGTCATTAATGATGCTTAAATCTTTCTCCACATGACGCGCTAATTGCTAACCAATGATAACTAACGATCACACCACATCGTCAACAGTCCTAACACACAGCTCTTTGGTGCTACTTACCTGGGCGAGGATTCTAACCGGCGGCGTGGTTCCCAGCAGCAGACAACCCCAAATGTGCTGATCCAGCAGATCACACAGATCTCTCCGACCGGACGATATGGGGCCCGTCGTCCCACTTGCAGCATGGCCGAGGTACTGAAACACTTTACTTAACTGCCAAGATTAAGGACCCATTCCCTAGGGCTAATGGGGTTTTTAGTTTTGATATTGATAATTTGTGAAATTTAATTTTGGATAAATGAAAGTAATGCAAACGTTAGTTGGTTTAATTTAGTTAGACAAAAATGTATTTTAATAAGTTATAAATCAAATCCGCTATATATAAGTTTGTATATATAAGTTTGAAGTACTTGATAAAGCCAAAGATAATTTAAAAAAAAAAAAAAAAAAAAAAAAAAAAATTAAAAAAAATTATTTTTTTTTTTATTTTTTTTTTTATTTTTTTTTTTTTTTTTTTTTTTTTTTTTTTTTTTTTTTTTTTTTTTAATTTTTTTTTTTTTTTTTTTTTTTTTATTTTTTTTTTTTTTTTTTTTTTTTTTTTTTTTTTTTTTTTTTTTTTTTTTTTTTTTTTTTTTTTTTTTTTTTTTTTTTTTTTTTTTTTTTTTTTATTAAAAAAAAATTTTTAAATTTTTTTTTTTTTTTTATTTTATAAATATTTATTTTTTTTTTTTTATTTTTTTTTTTTTTTTTTTTTTTTTTTTTTTTTTTTTTTTTTTTTTTTTTTTTTTTTTTTTTTTTTTTTTTTTTTTAATTATTTTTTTTTTTTTTTTTTTTTTTTTTTAAAATTTTAATTTTTTTTTTTTTTTTTTTTTTTTTTTTTTTTTTTTTTTTTTTTTTTTTTTTTTTTTTTTTTTTTTTTTTTTTTTTTTTTTTTATTTTTTTTTTTTTTTTTTTTTTTTTTTTTTTTTTTTTTAATTTTTTAGTTTTTTTTTTGTTTGTTGGTTTAAAAAGGGGGGGGGGGGGGGGAAAAGGGGAGGGTTTTTTTTTTTTTTTTTTTTTTTTTTTTTTTTTTTTTTTTTTTTTTTTTTTTTGGTTTTTTTTTTTTTTTTTTTTTTCAAAATTTTTTATGAAATTATAATACTCTCTGCAAGGGTATAATTACTAGTCTATTGTAAATGTGTTGATATTAGACATAAAACCTGACTACTTTTGAACTATTTAATACCTTTAAAAAACTACAAACCCTAAGTGATAAATATTTTTGAAAGAACCACAATCCTAGTTGGCCGGGTGCCGGCTGTCCATCTGTCGATTGTAAACCCTCACATCGCTCCAGCTTTACTTCAGTTCAAATTTATACTCGATAGCGGTTGGATAGCTCTTTCGACTTTCTGTGTACAAAAATATATTTGTATTTTATACCTTTTTTTTAACTTGAAAAAAATCATCAAATAGTTTCGTCGCGATTTGTGCCAAGTTTTTCGTGCGGCTTACTAATTTCCAGTGATTTAATTTATGGATCCCAAACGTGGTAATGCCTCCGGGGCACGCCAAGGCGGTGGTGGTGGTGGCTATCATGCCTCCAAGACGAGCGTGGCTGTAAGTTGGTCAAATAAAATTCTCCTCCAAATGATGACTGAATAACTCGGCTTATAGTCACGCCATGGCGGCGGTGGAGGTGGAGTAGCCGTGGGACACAAGCAGGCCAGTCAGGTCAGTCTGACGCCCAGCCAGGGCCGGAATCCAGAGAATGTAAGACGCCTCCCAGGTTAGCAGTGTTGCATCCAAATGATAACCTAATCACAGCCTCGCAAGAGTCCTTTGGACGCCCTAAGTCGTAGCGGCACCGTTCGCAATCAGAATCCATTCCAGCGTCGTTCTGGCTTGCAGGATGTGGATGAGGCTTTCCTGGCTTCAAATGCCTTTGCCCGGCCGCCCAGGGTTCGTCATTCTGGCCTGGACAGGGAAAACATGTCGCAGGCCGCTCCGGGAGGGGTACCTGCTGGACAGCAGGGCTCGGCTGCAGTGGCTCCTATTCGCGTTGCCGGTGGCCAGGATCCAAATCAGCAGCAGCAGCAACAGCAGCCTCCTTGATCGGGAAGCGCAGCAATGCCCGCCCGCGGCAATGCCCTCGCAGCAACAATTGCAACAGCAATACATGCAACCGGCTGCTGGGCAGCCCACTCGTCTGGAGCCAGCTCCTTCTGGACGGGCTCATGTCCATCAACAGCAGCAGCAGCAAATGCAACAGCAGGCAGGTTACGAGCAACAGCAACAAGTAGCCCAACAAGCAGATGCACAAATGCAGAATAAGTATGCAACCCAGCAGCAACATCAGTTGCAACCGCAACATCAGATGCCTCAGCACGGATATGTAAATATGAGCAGGTTTTTAGAAAACCTTCGAAGAGATAAATTACCGCCCTGACCCACAGCCCTCGCAGCCAGCAGCTGCCGGTGCTCCACAAGCAACTCCACCAGCAGCCGGAGGAGTAGCGGCTCCAGGAGGAGGAGCCGGCGGCAATGTGCCCAGGGAAAACGGTGGCGGAGCTGCAGCGCCACCGGATGCCGAGATGTGCACCACATGCCCCAACTGCCAAACCACCATTTACTTAGTGCGAACTCCGGAGCTTGGACATGGAGATGCCGGCTTACCTGTTCAGTAAAATATAAAATCCAAGACCCAGTGAAATGCACCAAATTTCGAGTGCATTACTCTTCTGTTTTGTTTTAAAGTAGCGACGACTATTTAAAAATGTTTTTAAGACATAGTTAAACTACTAAAATCTCCACCCTGATAAAATCGTGTAGTACAATCAGTTTGTGGCCGAACATATTAAATTGTACAATTAAAATAATTAAATTAAAAAGTTATACTTTGGATTTCACTTGCAGTTAAAAAGAGTTGGTCAACAAAAGTGAAATCAACCCCTAAATCGTGGTGTTTTGGCTGCGTGCCAAGTGGCTGTTTTTGGGGCAACACAAACTAGTTTGCGTTTTGTACATAGGATTTATATTAAGTCGTAAAGCTGGCAATTAATAGAGAAATTCATTGAATTGTATGGCCCACGAAGTGGGTATTAATATAAGTTAATAGACTGATCTTATCTTTAATGATTTCCCCCGAGTTTGGCCTAATAAATTTCTCAATTTTCAGATAATTCATGCTGGCAGCTCGAAGGGTGGAAAAGGCAATGGCAGTGCAGAATCGAACAGGTAAATACGCACCATTATATTTATAATACCTAACTGCCTTAGCATTATCATTTTGTGTCTGGTTTTCATTTGGGTTTCATTTTGTTCTTTTCGTTTGTCTTTCAGAATCAAATAGATAAAGCCAACCCACAAAAATTGCACACGGCTGCTTCACATACAAAAGAAATATAATTCAAAACTAGATAAACTAAAATATCGACATTACAACCATTGTACAAAGCTTTGATTTTAGCAAATTATTTATATTTTTGCCTAGTTAATTTATACAATCGATGAATTTACTTAATGTACGAGTACAAGCAGAAGAAGCTGCACTTGCCGCATGCCACCACCCACCACCAAAACCAACACCACCACCCAACACCACACAACACAAGAAAACAACCACAGCAAAAAAAAACCTGAAAAGAGTATCAACCCTCTAAATCGGAACCGTTACACAAGACATACAAAAATACCTGACAAATTGTGATTACAACATATAACTTATCATTTAACATTTAACTACATAATTGTTGGTCGTAACTTATTTTCGTTTTTTTTCTCGAACAATAAAATCAATGATATTAATTGAGTGTTGTTGTTTTTGTGGCATCTTTAATATAGTCTAGTTTTAATCGCTTTAAACAACTCTTCCAACAGCGGAAATGATAACCATGATCTTGTAGAGATTGCCGAGCAACTGCAGCGGCAGAGTTTGGCCGACTTGGAGGCCAACAGCTTTGAGCCGGAGCCTGAAGTTGAGCCGGAGGTTGTACCGGAACCCGAACTGGAGGTTATTACTCCACCATCACCGCCGCCAAAGAGCCACACTCCGACTCCCCCATCCGTGCGATCCCCTGAGGTGGCCGAGAGCATCGTTGGTGACAACCGGAGACCTCCGGCTTTCCAGCTGAGCAAGCAGCACACGGGCATGAAGAACCGATCGTTTGGCGTCGGGATGGCCGTAATGCCAAGCAGCAAGATGGAGTTCGATCAGATGGAGCGCGAAGATTTCGGCGTGGTTAAGATCAACCGTCCGCCTGGTCATGACGTCACCTCGCCGGGCCAGGATAACACGGATGCCATGTCCACCGTGTCCTCCGGCGGTGGTGGTGGCGGCCTCACTGATCAGGGCTACTACGATCTCAAGTTCTACCACAATAAGTTGTGGTAAACGTCACAAGCCGACAACCACGAAATATTTGCTAGCATCTTTTGTACGTGTGGCATAAGCATAATTAACAACATTAATCTAGACACTAAGAATGTATTACCTAATCAAAACAACACACCAAACGGTTCCTGTACTTCAGTTCAATGATTTCGTTGTGAGCTTCTTCAAAGACTTTTGTTAATTTGTTCATTTGTTACAAGCCACGCACTCCGAAGAGCATCTGTAAACGTAGAGCCTCACGAATTAATGTTAACAATAGCAAATTGAAATGTACGTAGAGTAATTACCGTCGGTACTGAGCTAGATAACTTTCAAACATATTTAATTTTGGTTTTGCCTTGTACCGCGGATTCTCAAAACCCCTTAATGTTATCCAACCTGTGTGTATCTTCCAATTACAGAAAACGCGAATATTTCGAACAAATCTATGGCGAGTACATGCTATAGGGATAGCGCCAGTTGGCCAGAACCCATCTTCATAACTATACTCAACATTTCTCAAACATTGTCTAACATTTAGTTTATAACACAACCCCCAAATGCAATAGATTAAAGATGATGATATACAAATAAAGCACAATTTTTGTCGACTCTATTTGCCAAGTGAAAGGGCCTGGCTTTCCATTTTATCTGCAATACAATTATGTACGTTTACACACACACACATGAAATGGAAATCTACGGGCTGATCTAGGGTGCTGAAATCTGTAAAGTAGAGCTATCGTTGGTGATGCTGCTGCTGCTTAAATATTGCTGGACGTGGATCCCTCCGTCTGTCTGCCTTTACATGTAGATGAAGTTGAATCTGTAGGAGAATGAATACATTAGTGGGAGAACTGGTAACGAAGATCCAAATGCACGGGACTTACCTGCAGAGGGCCTGCGGCAGGGATGAGATGATCGGTCCATAACCTTGCGAGTTGTCGTATAGCTCGAACAATGGCGCAGCAACAAGCTTATAATTTTTGGGTACAGCAAATAGTGCTAGATTACAGAAAACGATAGAGACAGAATTCATGGATGTAGATATAGCAACGAGCATTTAAATTCACAGAATATATTATCTAGAGATATTACAATCGGTTGTACAATTTACATATTAAAAATCGTTTCGCTGCCGTATGATATAAAAGGAGTCGTATGCGTTATGTTTTACATTCATAGTTGGATTCGTTAGACTAATTACTAGAGTTCGCTGCGGCTCGCAAAGCATCCGGCACTTTGCTGGCCCAGCGAAGTCTCCTAATTTCAGATATGAACATAATTTCCATTAAGAGCAACATTATACATGATATGTGCGGTTCGATTTGTGCGCTGAAATGCTTCAGCTTGTGTTGACTTCGATTCAGTTCAGCGCACAGCGAAGACGTAAGCATTAGCAAGTATGGACCAAAGAAAGTATAAACAGAGTACTTTGCTTGTGTTTACATAAACGAGTGCTTAATTTAAGGAGCGACTGGCGACTTGGCTGCCCTGCATGCACGCAAATCTGCCAAACACGCGAGATTTGGGCGCATTACTGCGACAGCCAGCAACGTTACAATGCTCTCTGCTGCCTACCCGGTGGATTGAATTGGGTAAATACACAACAACCTTAAGATGAACAACACATGACACTTGACAAAAGTAAGAGTAGAAGCTAGGAGATAAATAAATGTGTAAATAAAGGGATAACATGTCTGCGCTCAGTCTCACAAGTATGTCGACATATTTACAAAATTAAATACAAGAACAATCATTGAATTTCAAATGACAAAAGTCGGAACCAACAAAATATGCCAACACGCAGTCCTGAGCCAAAATACAATTTGAATTTAAATTTGAGACATGTTGTACAAAACTATCTAGGATGGTCGCCTGCGCCCGCTTTGCGATCTGTTTGTTTCTTTTCTGTTTGATATGTTCTGTTTGCTCGATTGTTGTTCTATGGCATTGCTCTCTTGAGAGTTGAGTTGGGTAGATACGACACACACGGCGCTAATGGAACAGCTCAGGGTACATCGTAACTGGCGTTCCCGTCCGTATCTAAACAGCATTGAAAAGATATGACATGAGGTTTGTTAGCGTATTCGGTTTTTGGCAAACAAAAAAAATCTAAAGGTTATATAAATTACATGGAGAGATGGATATTCTGGATACACGGTGTGCTCGATATACCTACTCGTAGACCCTTGAAACCCCTTGCCGATATTTACCCTTTTCATGCAGCTGGACGAGGAAGAGCCGCTTGTGCTCCTTGGGCTTAGTGATGTGCGGCGGAATGTACGGATATTGCGGTGGCTCAAAGTTCGGTCGCCACCAGTTTCCAATGGTGTCCTCGACAATCCACTCCTGCTTCACACCGTCTTGACGACCCAGCGTCTATAAAACAGTCAAAGTTGAGAAGTGTAAATACTTTATATGATGTTCAACTAATTTTAGAGAAAAGTATAATAGCAGACCTATGAATAAACAAAGTCACGATATAGACTATAGCCTAGGGTATCAGAATTGTTTGTTATCACTTTTAATTGAGTTCTTCGAAATCGATTACAATTACAATAAAACCGCTGAAAGAATTAACATTAGTTAACGTATTAGGCGGACTTCTTAGATTCTGACATAATAGAGTTCTGAAACTAAAATGTATAATTTATTAGCTGCAGTCACAAGCGAAAGTAGTTATAAAATCATTGAATATATGCCAAATTAACTCGATAAGTATATTTTGATAGTAAAATCTAACTCAATTCAAAACCTAAATTTAACATGTGAGAATGGATTTTGGTTGTACCTATAAACATTAAACATTTCTGAAAATTGTACGTAATAAAATATGGCATTGCCTTGTTGACAGTAAATCACGTTCGAAATCTTAATCTTAAACACCTGATCTGCTTATAAATAAACTTCTGAAGTTTTATGTAATCAAATATGGTGTTGTCTGGTTGTCAGAAAATCACGAACTTTTGTTGGAGACCTAACTAATAGAACTGATAAGTGATTCGGGGTAACTGAAATACCCATTTAGTTTTTATTAGGGATTTATATATTTACCTCGGAAAGAAGTCGCTTCAGCCCCTCGACCTCATCCTCACCGGCGTTCAGCTCGCCACCGGGCAGTTTAAAGAATGTAGTGCCCAGCTGCAGCAGCAGGACATGTGGCAATCCGTGCTCGTGGACAAGGAGCACTCCCTCGACGGATCTGCGCATTCCAATCCGATCAAACTCCTCACGCATCCGCTGGAATCGCGACGGTACTGATGGGTCCTTCTCGAAGAGTGGCTCCTTGGTGCCGAATGTGTAGTTGGTCAGGGGGTAACTAAAAAATCAGATCCACCTATTATCTATTGTATCTTCTTAATACAAGGTAATACCCACAGATTGATAGTGCGGTTGATGGTCAGGGCCTGGTTGGTGTACTTCTGGGTGCCGTTGTTGTTGCTGCTGACTGCATCCGCTTGGCCTTGACTTCCGCGACGCGGCCATCCGGAGCCCGATTTGTTTGAGACTTGCGAGGACGCCATTTTGTTATACACACAGCTCCGAGGGAAAACTGGTCGACTATTTTGTCTCCCAAATCCGTTGATTACCCGTTGAAAACTGGTTTGCCAACGGCGACCCTTACTTTAATTGTTTATTTACAAATGTGGGTATTAATTAATCCTCGATTTACGCCGTTTTCTTTCAGTTTTCGTCCAGCGCTTGTGCAAAAAATTAACCGGCTGGTCCAGGGCTGCAAATGTATTGATTAGGTTCCCATGAACGGAACTGGTTCATCGAATTTATCGATTTGTGGCATTGTTTTAACAAAGTAAGAAATATTTTCAGTTTTGTCTAAATAGCTTATTATATTTTATTTTCCATTTACAGATGTAATTACATTAAAAACAGCACTTGGTAACGTCAGCCCTGGTTGTTATTGTCATCTGGCAACGCTAACATTTTCCTTCAAAACCATCTGGCCACACCTGTCCATTAGTTTTTTGTTTATGTTGGGACGTTGTCGGAAAAATCGGCTGTTCTCCCGTGTGTCCGTCTGCTATGAAAAGCTGCTAAAAAGCTAAATATAAATATCAGCGCGGCGAACACGTTGGCTGGCTGCATTGTTTTCCCATTTTAATGGGAAATTTTGTGAGTGCGAGTCAGAAAAACGCATCTTGTGTGTGTATATATAAGTATGTAACTGTGGCCGTGTGTGTGTTTCTGTGTGCATGGTGCAATGGAAAAGTGATTATTATAAATGAAAAACAGTGAAATGTGTAAGTGTGGCACTGCAAACGCTTTGAACTTTTCCATTTTCATGTTTTCACCTCGTCTTTTCTTCTCCCCCTCCCCCTCTCCTGCAGACAACCAACTCCCACTTGTACGTGTGTAACGGCAAAGGGTGTTTTGCCTGGGTGTGCGTGCCAGATAAAAGACTTTGAATTTGTGGAGGATACTATAGTGTCAACCGAGGGGTATAAATACGCAAAAAGCCCCTAATATGCAGGCAAGTCCATTAATTACGCCAAAGGTCAAAAGTTAGGCACACTGCCAGGACCCAAGGAGCAATAATAATGTTGTAAGAAGGCGGCGAGCCTGTAAGAAAGAGAGAGAGAGAGAGAAAGGGAGCTGGTGTTTTGGTGTGAGTGCGTGGTAGAACAAAGAGGACGAAAAACACGGCTAAACAAATTCGCCGCAAGACCAATTCGCCGTCAGAAATTGAAAGAAAACAAAAGGATATTATTAAAACTAAACTAAAGACTGCTAAGCTATATATAATTCATAACAATGTCAGCGGCGGAACTTGAGGCAGAAGCTGCCGCCCAGGAGCAAAAACCACAACAACAACAACACCAATCGCAGGGCGAAGAAACAAATACAAACACAACTGCCATCAATGAAAATGCAACCACAACAAACAATTACAACAATAATTTGGATACGGACACCCAGCTACAAATGCACCAGGATCCTCAGCAACAGGAGATCGAGGGCAACAGCAACAATGGGCTTACAGGACTCGGTATTAGTCTGATGAACTCCTCACCGCCGCCGCACAGCTACCGGCACTCGCGGGCCTATCGCCACTTCAAGAATCCTCCCCAGCCGCACATGTGCATCCGCACCACCACGGAATCCGGGGAGGAGCTCTTCATCAACGTCCTCAGCTGGACGCGTATTGTGATACCGCAGGAGCCCAGCGATCCCATCCCTCTTTACGGGGGTATGCGGGTAAGTTTTTGAAGTGTTCCCCAAAACTTTAGTAATATAATATTTTAACAGTTAAAAAAGATCGTATTTTTTTGATAAACCACCCACTATTTATTATTATTTCCTTCGGAAAGAACAATTATTATAAAAAAAAAAAAAAACAAAGCCACTACTGGAGTGGATGCTATTTCTGCGTTTGTAAATACATAACAGCAAAAAAAACACACTGAATAATTCAATATAAAATATATAAATTTAAAACAAGGATTCTTTCTTCTAATTATATTATTTTAAATAAAAAAAAAAGTTTTTTACAATTATTTAAGAAATAGAACTTGTCACAATTTTCTGAAAACTCTAAAAAGTATATAAAACATTTATTTGACAAACATACTTGATATTTGAGGTGAAAAACAATATAAAGATGTGCAATTGGCAAATGGGAAATAAATGGACCACATTAAAATAAACTTTCATGAAACTTGTAATACAACAATCTAATCTTTCTTTCAGGTTCCGCCTGGCAGCCCCCGCAGTCCTCCCATCGTCTTTGCCGTCATGGCCAATCCGGAGGTGCTGAAGGACTCTGGCCGCCACAGCAAAGATCCCGAGGAGCGACGTGCCATGGTGGAGCTAATGTGCGACTTTGTGGAGGCTATGAATCCAGGCGTGAAACTAGTCAGGTAATGTTTTGGAATTTCCCTAAAACTCAAAACTCAATTGGTGCCAAAATTAAAACATACATAGTTATGTGGGTAACTGCAATTGTAAGAATGGTTTAATCTGCAGTCACTGAATGCCGTGTAAGAATGTAATTTTTGAGCTTGATAAGAGGGACTGCAATATTCTTTAATGAAATTCATCATCAGGCAAATAATACTCCGCTTTCATCCCCCAGAAACGCCGTAATACTCAAGGATCGCGACATCTCAGGCGAGCTGAAGGACGTGTGGAACGCAGTGCAGGCGCAGCGCGATCGTGAGCGGGAAGAGCAGATGATGCAACAGCGCCAGCAACAGCACTACCAGAACATCACCACGCAGCAGATGTTTCCCAAGTCACCGGATGCAGTGCGGGCAGCTAGTGCTGGTGGTGCAATAAACGAGGCCAGCTCGCCACCGGCTAACCTGTCTGAGCCGCTGCTGGCAGAGCACGCCAATGGGAACGGGAATGGCAATGGCATCACTTTGGCCGTGTTTGCCCAGCAACTGGACAACAAGGTGGCCAGTGAGCACGGAGAACAGCAGGAGCAATCAGCATTACTGGAGGAAGCTTGCGTGGATCAAACGGATGCGGGCAGCTCAGCGAATGGACCATCATCAGTGCTGGACAATCAAACGGTGGTGGATACCGAACCAGAGGTGAAGGTTGCTCCAGCAGCAGCTGCCACCAATGGAGCCAGCACGCCCACATCCAGCAACTCAACGCCCCCAGCTACGGCCACATCCACTTCCAGTCCAATCCTAGCCCCAGCTCCTGCTCCTGCTCCAGTTGCCACACCGACTCCACCACCCGCGGCCCCCACAAAGAAGGAGAAACTGGGTGGCTTCTTGCCCAATGGCTGCATCTTCCCGCGCTTCAAAAACAACAAGCACAAGGACAAGGACAGCAGTCATAAGGAGGGCAAGAGCAAAGAGAAGACTCTGCTGAATGCACTGAAAAAGAGCAAGGAGAAGAAGGTGGCGCCCAGTGAGCAGCCGACAGAGAAGGCCGCCGCCTCGGACAACGGAACCACGCAGTACGAGAAGAACTGCATCAACAATCTGGAGTGCGAGGTGCAGAAGCTGGACCTGAACAGCGGCAGCAATGGCGACAACAGCATGTTCATCAAGCTGAAAGTTTCGCCGGCCAATGCCACTGCAGCGGCAGCGGCGGCCAAGTAGAGATAATCCTGAATTTACACACACACACAAATCTCGTAGGTAAGTGGGAGTTAGAATGAAAGATTAGGAGGCGGCACTCGCCAGTGAAAGGAGCCACTGCGTCAGCACTTAGGGCTTAGAGTCGTGGGTAGAATCGTGTAGCATATACAAGATTTATATATACAGAATATATATACACTCACACACCCGTTTACACCGTTGGTCAATTTTTTGGATAGCCACTCAGAACCAGGACTAGATGAACTAACAGTTGTGCCATGCTCCAGCTCATAGACATTTATAGACGACAGCGCTTCTCCCAGGATCTTCCTCGGCATTTAACTGACAAAATAACAAACGTATTTACATAGTTCAATATATGTATGATTCGCATACAGTTTGCCTTATATACAACAAGCCCAAGCGACAAGAGCCTAGCAAGAACCAGTTGATAAGCACGAGAATTAATGTATGTAACACCTAATCGTCGAATGAAACTCATGCGCCAAAAGAACATCCCAGCACTCACTCACTCACATCTTAGACTAACTACTAGCTCCATTCCCAAATTGTCTCATCACTTCATCGGGAACCACCCACCAGACATTTCCCAGTCCATATCCGTGTAAAAGTATTAAAAAAACTGCGCAGATCCAAACACCCTAACCCTGGATCGATTGATCTCCACGCTTTGAAGTTGAGGGGCAGTACAACGGGGTGTGTTTTGAAGCCGGCTCAATAGTGCCACAACTAACTTATGTACCTTAGTATACCCGAATGCGAAAACAGTATACAGATCCGCAATGTCGCTATTATGTTTTATTTTTTAAAGTTTAACTTTTAGTTCCTCTTATTGAATACCGAAGGGGGAACCTACTTCTCCTTCTATTTATTTTCCGTGCGTGCTTGTTGTGTTGTAATTGATACTGTTGGAATGTTTAACCTTTTACTGTGTTTATTGTTTGTGCTAACCCAATTCCCTCAACTTCAAACGAAACCACTCACGAATCATATATTATAGAGAGTAAACCACTAGAATTCGAATAAATATTCGGGAAACTCCTCTGAAAAAAGGGAAAACAAAAAGTTTCAACTGCAATATCGGACTGAACAATGCTGCCATATAAAAATATATACATGTAATGACTTTGTATATAAAGTTAGCTACATATTTCCATAAAAGAACGAAATTTCAATTGTGATTCAATCGAAAATCTAATTTTGTTTCCACATCGAAGAATTTTATTGAAGGTCTAAAAAAAACATACACAACGTATACCGAATAAAATATAATTTTGTTTGCTAGGAAAAACATCACGAAAGTGAGAATCCCAACAGAAAGAACTTTTCTTTTTGTGTTTTCTTTTTTTTTAAGGTGCCATACAGGAAGAGTGTATGAGAATTAATCAAAATTGATTTCATCCAATTGGTATTATATTTAAGCCTCGAGTTTCTTTAATTGTGAGTTGGAATGAGTATCGAAAACCCTGAGTAAATACTAGTTTTTAACTGGTTGTAAATGATAAATGCTCGTGTAAAATTAGTATTAAATTAAAGCACGAAACCAACAACAGAAACGGCAACAACATAACACTATAATTACAAATTAAACTAGTTTAAGATTCAAGTCTTCTAAGCGAAGAGCAAAAAGCAATAATTTTACTTGAAAAGAGAGACCGGGCAAGAAAATTATGATGAAAATGCGTGTGGCGAGTTGACAGCAATAGGGGTGAAACTGGAAAACTCTAGAATTTTCAGATGCAAAGATATGTCTTTAAATAATTTACATATTTATTTATTAATCTTTGCTTACCAAGTTTACCAGAGAGAAAACACATTTTTTGGTTCATCCTAACCTCTGAAAAATCTAGTGTTTTCCGGGTCACCCCGGAAAAACTTCTACAACAAACAAACAAACACACATTTGCGGATGAAAAGCCAGCACACAAAAACACACATTTTTATATGTATATGTATGTAATAATAAAAGATCGTATTTGACAAAAGTGTAGTTGAAGCTGCGATTTATTTTGCGAAGGATTCAATAAATATGTGGAATGTTTTTGCTACTGTCTACAGAACGACCTATACAAGGCGATCCATGGATGCGATGGATCTCCTAAATCCGCCAGGATCTGGATCCTACTCATCCTTGTTGTTGACGGCCCGCAGGCGTTCCAGCTCGGCGCGCTCCTCCTTGTTGCGCAACAGTGGGACATTGTAGTCGAAGGCGTAGAAGAAGCCCTTGGGCTCGCCGGTCTCCTCGGGTCCGGGAACATATGGCGGCTCCTCGTGGACGTAGGGCTGGTACTCGGGCTCGGCGGGCTGATAGCGACCCTCCTGCTGATACTCGGCGGCATAGGGATCGGGATTGTGGCCAGCGGCGGCAGCCAGTTCACCCCACAGCTTGAAGTGCTCCTCCTCGGCCTTCAGGACGGCGGGTGTCTTGGTCGCCGGCAGTTTCAGGTGCGCCGGTCGGTTGTCCTCCACATGGAAGCCGGTCTTGTCGGCATAGTAGTTGGCCACAAAGTCTCGGCCATGTGGCTGCACGTACTTGTAGGATCCGGTGACCTTGCCCGTCTCATCGCGCTTCTCGTTCTTGCCCTGGTTCCAGTCCTTGTAGCCGTAGGCGAACTGACCCAGGCCGTCCTGGCCATGGTACTGGTGGGCATCGTAGTGCTCCTCCACATAATCCTCAGGGTGCTCGATCACCCGCCCCATGTACACGAACTGGCCCTGCTCGTTGCGGGCCTCGGGCAGAGGATTCTCCCCGGTCTTGGGTGCATACTCGATGTCGCCGATGCCGCGCAGTTGGGCGCTGTTCAGGAACTGCTGGGCCTCCTCGGGGGTGATGTTGATCTTGAAGATGTTCTCGCCGCTGGCAAGGGTGGCCTAAAATTGGAAGTCAAGCGTGAAAATAATTAGCAATAAGTTAAAGCTCCCCTACAATTAAGGCCGACTTTATGGCCAATTTAGCAAGCTACACAATTCGGGAGAGATCACACAAAAATAATGGTGATGTCATATCATTGATTAAAGTCTCATCTGGCATGTAACCCAAGGTTTGCTTAATTTTTGCACATTGTATAACTTTTTTATTTGCACATTGCAATCGGCACACAATTGACATTTATAGAGTCACAACCCGGATTTTAATTGAATGGATCGGATCTATTCAGAGATGACCGTAAATATCAGCTTAATTATGCAAATTCTCTGCATTTACCAGCAACAGGGCAGCCACGATGAAGCACTTCATTATGGATTCCGATCGAAATTAGAGCTATATATCCAGGTATCACTACGTTTTCGCTGTTCTGCAGTTGGCGGGCTACTAATAACTGAATACCCAAAGCCACTGCTTATATACTAACTTTCAACTCGGCTCCGGTATTGTTGCTTTTTGCCTTTTGCGTTTTGCATAAATCTGAATGAAGATGTGCTGGTGTGTTTCACTGACCAGCAGACCGAGCTTCACCTGTCCGGTTTCTTACTCAGCTTTAGAATCTCGCATCCCACAGTTTGAAGTTCATTATCAACGTCGCTCAAATTCGCACTTCTCACACTCAAGCTACGGATATATTTAGAGAGATGCTGGAATAAACTATGAAAACATCATTAATTGTAAGTATGCCGCTTGGTCAATTAGTTATCTAATAGCTCTGTGGCTTACCCATCTTTTGTTGCCGTTTTCAGAACCCTTTTAGCCGCGATTCAAGTGGCATTTTCAGAGCTTGGCTGTCGGTGTCGAGTATCTCGAAGATACTTTTTTCGCCTCTTGGAATCGATCTGGCAGGCATATAAGGCGGTTGAATGCTACAAATCTGGTTTGGCCCATCTTATCTTGATCGTATAGGCAGTGTGGCTCGCGTTTGTTAACAAATTTGCAAGAAATCTACATTTTATGGGTGCCAACTGGGAATTGACAATTTTTATGATATCATTCATAACTTTTAAAACTTTGTATAACAATTAGGCAGCTATTTTATTAGTTTTAGAAACCCAATAAAAATTATAAAACTCCTATGATGAAATACCATTTCTTTAAGGTAACTTTAGTTTTTATTTCAAATGTAAATTCAGAATACAATAATTTATGAGGTAATCCCCCGTCGAATCCACAAATATCAAACTTTTTACTCTAACCACTTGGCTATGATTTATTTACAATTAAGCATCTTTGAGCGCCCCAATCACTTTTTACTTTTAATTAATGCAAAGTCTAACTTTGGCTCCGGGTTTCCTGTAGATCGGCGGAAGTTTTTGTTTAGACATGCGCCAAGCACTTGAAGTCCGATTGACTGCTGCATAATTAGATGCGGTGCGAGTACAATGGAGGATGCGATGGGTACTCACATCACTCGGATATGCGATCAAATGTCAGTTCAATAAGCCCGGCTCAAAATCGTAATTGGAGACCATGGATCTTGGGTTTCGGGAAGGGTTTTCGCAGCAGCGGTCGTGTTAAACCCATGAAAGCCGCTTATTAGGCGCTTACAAGGGCAACTGCGCAGTTGTTCGTTTACAAAATGACTTAACTATTTAAATAATAAGCACGCTTCACGTTCCAGGCTTGGCCCGTAAACATCTTCAATCTTCGGATCGCGACTACTGCAACAGTCTATTTTGAAAGCCAAGCGTATCCAAAGCGCCACATCATCAGCGGTAGTATCATCCTCACAAGTAGTATTATCATCATCATCGTCTGTTGCCGAGTGTTTCCCACTGTTTTGGGGTCTTTTGGCTATTTTTAAAGCAGACAAAGGCGAGCCAAGCTCGATAAAGAATTTTGTGGGTTCGAAATACTAAACAACTTGAGAACCAACTGAGGTTCTGGGTTGTTTATGATTCACTAACTAGTTAGTCTATGTTATGTGGCAAAAACATAACCTCTGACGTCCAAGTTCTAGATGAAGTAATTTGGTTACTTTGCCACTCCATTCATTTATTTTATTATTCCAGCAATTTCTGGAATCCGCTTTAAAAACAAATAACAAAACTAGCCTCTTATTATTTGGAAATTCATTGATTCATTCTTAAGTTTGTTATTTTGTTATTGAATTCCAATTGATGATGCCAATGTCTAAATAAAAACGAAGACCTAATTTCCAACCAAGAATCAGGTTTTCTGGGCCTCAGCGCCTTAAATTTGGTTGATAATTATTTATAATGTATTGTTATTTTTTGCTGCCTTTAAAATATCAAATAATTGCGTATGATAAATGACGATGATGCTGTTGTCGATGGCAATCGTGCTGTGGAAAACGGATGAAACGTCAATTAAATTTGCATTTATATTTTCGCTTTACGCTATAAGATAAACTTTATCTGCCTAGCCAACTTCCTTATGGTTTTAAAGTTCATTATTCAAAGAGTTTCAATGTAAGCAATTTATAAAATTTTTCATAGTTAAATGAGAACAATAAGAAGGAAGAAGACGGTGGTACTACCAAACTGTTTTATTTAAATGGTATAATTGGCATAAACCTCATTAAACCTGGTTGGTAGTTTATACTTTATAGGCAAATCATTTTCCATAGTCATAACAATTACTCTTCTTCTAGGTGATATTTAGAACGCCACAATTGAATATTCCTTTGCACCTTATTTGGTCATTACAAGTTAAAGATTATACTAGCATATTAATTCACATTAAAACCCATAAAATCTTGCTGGAAAACACACTTGCTTTCCTTTAATGTGGTTTTAACATAGATTCAATTAAATATTCTTTTAGACCTTATTTTTGCTGCAATTATTCCCATATTTGGTTTTAATTTAATATTAATATCAAAACCATTTTTAAGTTTTATTAGTTTTAATGTATTAGTTAAGTCAGAAGCGTATTTTTAAGATTTAATGGTAATAGAATTGAATAGTTCTGCCCTTTTTTTTTTAATTATTTCTAAGTTTAATTAAATATATGCCGTTTGCGATACAAGTATAACTAAGCTCTGTCTGATTTTTGCAAATTTGAAGGCAACAAGCTAAAACCAAATAAACAGGCTTTCTAAAGACCCAATTTTGAATTTAGCTGCTATATCCATCCAAACTTTTCGAACTATCCTTGCCCCAACTTAAAATGGTTGCCTTTTCTCAAATACAACATTCTAAGTTTTGGCGTGTTATTGAATTATCAAGTTAAATCGCTTATAATTGTTTCTACATTTTAAATTATTTTACACTATATTAAATTATTTGTAAACAAACAACAAATGTTCTCATTTTCTTACAACAAAGTTATTTCACACTCATAACTAATTCGATTTTTATAACTTCATGTTGTTATCATTCCACGGAAACTATTTAAATTAAACGGTTATTGTAGTTTCAGACCAAGCAGCCAGTGAGTGTCAAACATAGATCTGTTCTAACGATTAATCGATTGCTGCCGGTTGCCTGTCATCACTAGATTTTGGTATAATTTGGTATATGCCACCCTTCTGGCTCTGGTCACACTGTGTCTGGCCACCAAAAACCCAAACTTAATTAAAGAATTAAATAATTCTAATAATAATTAAGCCGAAAACCCTACGCAGTGCGAGTGCGTAACCGAGAAAAAAGAATCCACACGGCGACAGCGAAATCATGGTAGTGTTGGAGACGGAAAAGGTAAGACCAAAAAGAGAAAAATCGAGCCGCATGGTTTCGATTTCGATTTCGGCTGAGCCGTGGCAGGAACAACAAAAACAGGGTTGTTGCACAAGACAGTCGAGTAGAAAAAGTGTGCAGTTGGCGTGGCTTCATCTCATTATTGTTCACCCGTTTTTTCCAAAAATCAGCATCCGTAATTTCTCGCACAATTATTGTTAAATATTATTCTTGCACGCTGTTGCTACGTCATAGCTATCGCTCTCTCTGTCTCAATCTATCTATCTCGCTTTCGCGGTCACTCGCTCTCTATGCTCCTCTCGCATTTGCATACCACACGTTTTCACTGCTCTCTCGTTTGCTCTTTCTCTCTGTGGCTGGAATTTGTCAAGAAATCGCGTGTGTGTGTGGGTTTCTGTT